GGCCAGGCCCAGAGTTCAGGCCCCACAACCGGACCGAAAAAACAAAAACAAAAACAAAAACAGAAAGGCAACCAGAAAGGCAACCAAGTTCACATGGCAGTTGATCTTGTATGGAAACCAAACTCATTCCCTGACTTCAAATTGATGCCCATTTTAAACAAACAAGTGCATCTTCTTGCTTGGTGGTACTTTAGACGGCAACCCGGCAGACCTGCTTCATTCTTAACCTCCTGTGATTTCACCTGGGTGGGCACAGCCTGTTTCCAAGGAAGAGAAGAGTAGGCCTCTATTTCATCGGCTCCAAGCAGAAGTTTCTGCTGGTTCTTCCCGGTGCCCAACTGACCACTGTGCCCACCTGGGGTCCTTCCTGCCTGTCTGTGCACAGGCAATTTCATGTATGTAGTAGAATAGCACAGGCAGTGTGCGAGCTTGGGGTAGCGATGTCTGCATCAGATCTATTCACGAGGCCATGTTTTACACACCGCTGGGATTCTTCCTCTAATCCCTTCACCACTGCTAGTTCAGTGAAACAAGAGAGAACGTCCCCAGACCCGCTTTGACCTGGACCTTTGAACTTTGGAACTAGCCTGTCAGTGTCCTGTGCTAACTCAAACCGTGGCTTGCTTCCTTTGTATGACTTTTTCCCCCTCTAATAATGCTGGTACCCAGGAGGAGGCGCCCCTTTCCTCCTGGGGTGTTTCACGGCATTCTTTCACACTGACCAAACCCTCCGTCTATGTGGCCAGGCTGCCACCATGTTTGAGACTCTGCTCTCCTGTGGTCTCTGGTGTCTGGTCCCTTGCAGTTCTACCTCCCTGCCCTTCTTGCTTTGTGCTTCTCTCCCCAAGGTCTTCTACGTTAATGAACATACTGAATTTTTTTTTTTTTTTTGATCAGTCGTGGGGCTTGGACTCTGGGCCTGGGCGCTGACCCTGAGCTCTTTCAGCTCAAGGCTAGTGCTCTACCACTTGAGCTACAGCACCACTTCCAGTTTTCTGAGTGGTTTGTTGGAGATAGGAGTCTCACAGACTTTCTTGCCTGGGCTGGCTGTGAACTGTGATCCTCAGATCTCAACCTCCTGAGTAGCTAGGATGACAGGCGTGAGCCACCAGCGCCTGGCACGTGTATTGCATTTTGTTGTGCTGACTTATCTTGAATATCCCTAGCTTCCCATGGGCCTGCCTCCCTGTCCACTGCTCATTGCAGAACCTCTGGCTGCTGGGATGCTCTTCCTGGTGGGACGCTTTTCCCTCCACCTCACCTTCATATCCCTTTGTTGCTGGTATTATTATCGTTATTATTTTTGCAACCATAATGTCCCAGCAGGTGCTGGCACAGTATGACTGTGATCCTGACCCCCTCCTTTGTGCCCGGCCTGCCATGTTCTCTGCCCAGCAACCTCCAGGCCCACAGAGACTGCATTACAGAGGTGGACAGTGGAGCCCAGTGTGGTTAGGCGACTTGTTGAGAGCCTCTGGCCCCCATCTGCGTGCAGGACCACCCCGCGTGAGAGAACACAGGAAGAAGCAGCCTCTTCTCATGTCCACACCCAGGCTGACTAGGCAGAACTCCGCTGGCTGTGTTCAGGAATATTCTCCTCTGATTGTTCTGGAGACCTCTGGCCTGTGGTCCCCGCTTTCTTAGTCATTTCCCAGCTTTTCCCTCCTAGCCTTGGCCCTCAGCATGGCACTTTGCTCACAAGTGTTCTCAGCGCATTTTCTTACTTGTGCATCCTTCAGGGAGCTCTAGGGGTGCTTAGAAGGCCCAGCCCCAGAAACTGCAAAGAATTTAGGCTCCCAAGTGTGCCACAGGGTGGCCGCACCTGTGGCTGCAATGACTTAATTCCAGAGGCCGCGTGTGGTGATCCTGCCTGGGAGCCTCTCGCTGTGGGGTTTCTCTGACTGGTCCCAGTGTTGCCTTTCTGAGGGGCCCACAGTGGATGGAGCCTTCCCCCCTCGCCTTCCTGTGGCTTGGATCAAGACTAGTGAGAATTATGTACTCTGTAGAGAAAAGCCAGGCATATATATGTATGCTATATATGCTCATCTGCTGTCAGGAAAGCAGGCTTCTTGACAAGCCTGTCTGAATTGAGTACCTTTGGATATTAGATATGTTTAGTATGAAAGTTATACATGCTCATTTAGTAGATTTTATGAAATAGTCAACAAGAAGTATACTTTATTCAACAATAACTGTGATTTTTATATATCAACTTCAAGGCTTTTATGAGACATATACTTAAGAAATAGCATAGCTTACATGACTACAGTCATAATCTATATCCAATTTTGTATCTGCTCCTGTAATTTACACTATAATATAACTCCATAATATTAAAATTTTCCCCAAAGTTATTTATGATGACTTGTGGAAGGTAATTGTTTTATTTTACTGTTTTTGTGTCTTTTTTGGCAATTATTAGAATATTTTTAATTCTTCCATTTCAGTAATACTCTTATAAAAATCTTCCCAGCTTTTATACTTTAATTTTCTCTGAGTCTCAGAAAACTGTATTCGCTTTTGTCAGTTCTGGGTTTACTCAAATCACCTTTAGTTCAAGTATTACATTATAATCCCTAGTAAGTATCATTTAATTTCCCATTTCTTACTTGAGTTCAAGGCAAATCACAGTATAATTTAAGTGCACACACAATTTAATACAGCTATTCTTTGTTTATTTTGAAAATTAAACAATGAGTCTTTCAGTATTTTCCATAGGATTATTTTTTTCTTAACCTCAAACAGCAAATTTGCAACTGAATGTGACGGTCAAAAATAAATTTCTCTGGCATATTGTCAGGCTCCGAGAGAGAAGTAAAAACAGTTTTTAAAAAAAATGAAGTAAGGGGGCTGGGAAGGTGGCTCAGTGGTAGAGCACTTACCTTGCACGCTCGAGGCTCTGGGTTCGATTCCTCAACACCACATAAGCAAAAAAGAAAAAGCCGGAAGTGGCGCTGTGGCTCAAGTGGTAGAGTGCTAGCCTTGAGCTGAAGAGCTGAGGGCCAGCGCCCAGGCCCAGAGTTCAGGCCCCATGACCGGACACATACACACACAAAAAAATGAAGTAAGTGATCTTTTGTTGGATCTGACCAGGAAGAATTAATTTAAAAAACTTTAATAGGAAGCACTAAATTCTGGAAGCCTTCTGTCAGACTATGCTAAATATGAGAAAAACAGGAAATCCTTCTCATATGCCCACTGCACATTTTGTGATATATGCCGTTCATTTCCAGAATCTAGTCCTGCAACTTTTCTGATGTATTTGGTTTTGTACTTGCTCTGGATCTTCGAGGGTGTTTTTATTTGTTTGTTTGTTTTGTCAGGACAGTCCATTGCTCTGGGCCTTTTATTTGTTGATCTTCTATTCTTAATGGTAAATTCACAGCAGGGTCTGGTTAACTTTTTCTGTGGAAAGTGAATATTTGGGTCTGTTTGAGATGTTGTAATAAAATAACATAAGCCAAGTGGGTTGTGGCCAACAGCAATTCAGTGCTCACCCTTCCATGTGGTGTAAAGTGCAAGGTGAGGGCCACAGTAGGTCTGGTGTGTGCTGAGGATCCTCTTTCTTCTAGAAAACTCATCCATTCTGGATGCAAGGGACAAAGGCGCCCCCTAGGGACCTCCTTTGGGAAGGCAGGAGTAAGTCCATTCATAGATTTCTAATCAAACTCAAGACTTAAACACCACCTGACCCACCCACCGCTTCCGCTATTCCCTTTATTCTTTGTGTTAGTTCACAATGAGAGAACTTTATCTCACCTTGATAGACGTGAAGTGTAGACCCACCCCTTTCCCTGATTGCATTTTCTCTTTATGTTAGCTCACAGTGAGTGAGATTATTTTATTTCACCTTGATAGAAGTTCTGTAACTTACTTGTTGCCTTTTTATATTGTTATTGTTGGCTCGCATTGAGTTTTATTTGTCGTAGGCTTGTTGAAAACAAGCTGCTGGATTTGAACAACACCAAACTGAATTTCAAGATTTTGGGGGGTTACTTTTGAAACTGAATATGTGTGTTCCCATTTCAACAGCTAATGTTGTAAGTGGAGAAATTAAATTCACAGGCATCACATGGGTAGCGGACTGGGACTTGGGTCTGGTGTAATTGGTGACAGCGATGAAGAATGACGTCCGAATTGTCCCTTCATGAAATGAACTCTGTCCCGTCCAGGAAAGCAAGCTCTGCATGCCGGGACTCTAGAAGGGTCTCCCCAGTTTGGTTTGATTGCAGAGAGAGACCACGTCTATCCCCATGTTAGGACTTGTGGCTAACGGGGCTGATGGTGCGTAGAGCTGGCAGGGAGGAGGCTTGCTGTGCAGAAAGGGCAGGCACATTCCTTTGGCTTTTTACATTCACGTGAAACACTGTGCTAATGAGATGTATTTTCTTTCCTTTTTTTAAATGCCAAGACAAGGAAAGGTATATTATTATATCTTTTTGTGATGGCTGTATTTTATTTTGCATTTTATACATGTCTTGTGTTTGGCAAATAAAAGGTCCATTTTCTACAGTGACAGTACATCTGAGGCAGAAGAGAATGATCTCCCTGGATTGAGATGCATTATTAAGTTTTTTTTAAAAAATGCTTTTATGCCAAGAAGCTTCATAAGCGGCCCTCAGCTCCCGTGCCCTGGCACACTGGGAAAGTGCACCTCACAAGACTGTACTCACGCCTCCCTCCTGGACTCCCAGAAAGCATGGAAGTGAATGCCCTTCTCAAAGCCATGTCTAGATGCTGCTTCTAGCCAGACTAGGTTACCACCTCCTCAGCCAAAGGGTATCTTGGTATTTCCCTTTGCCTACCTCCTCTGGGACTTCATCATGTTTGGACATTGGCCTTGTCTCGCAAGCCTCCTCACCCCCACCCCTACCCCATCACTCCTCATCAGAGGTTGAGTACAAGATAATCAGATATGTTGGACAGAGTGCACACAGTTTGCTGAGTGAAGAAAGAAGACTGGTCAGCCATCTCTCTCCCTCTCTTTGTTTTACCCGCAGGCATTCTTGAAGTGCTACATTGTGTGCTCGTGGAAAGCCCTGAAGCACTAAATATAATTAAAGAAGGACACATCAAATCCATCATCTCACTTTTAGATAAGCACGGAAGAAACCACAAAGTGAGTAGACCATTTTATTTCCACGAGCGCGTCCTCGAGTCACTTAAAGTGTAACAGCCACGCGCTGTATACTTGAAAGAGCTAGAAGAAAAGATTGGCATCAATTAATGCTCAGCACACACACACACACACACACGCACGCACACACACGCACGCACACACACACACACACACACACACTGTACCTGTGCTTACAGTTTGTTAATGTTTCTATGTAGCAGTTAAAATCTCCACCAAAAATCTGTCTTTAAAAGAAGAAAACTTATCAAAGACGCGTTGAGTTTTTCACGGGTGTGTCTCATCTTCGTTATGTTGGAAAAGTCCTGTGTGGGGTCTGCAGCCCCCTTGTGGGGCAGGTCTGCTCTCGGTGCTGATCTGGGTGAAGGATAGCAGGGACTCCTGTTCGCTGGCCGGAGGGGATGCGTTGGCTCTGTGGGAAGGCCTGTGGGTGCCAGGATCTGAAAGGTGGCTTCTCATTCCAGGTCCTGGATGTCCTGTGCTCGCTCTGTGTGTGCCATGGGGTCGCTGTGCGATCGAACCAGCACCTCATCTGTGACAATCTCCTGCCAGGAAGAGACCTGTTGTTGCAGACCCGTCTGGTGAATCATGTCAGCAGGTAGCCACATCGGTGCCGGACCAGAGCTAGGGAACAGCTAATGTGCTCTCAGTTTAGCTCTGCCACTAGGAGAGCAGCTGGTCAGTGGTTTTATAGAATTCTATTTCCCTAGGAAATAATAGATGTACTTTTTAAAGAATTAAGCTGATAGGTTCATAATAACAATAGACGAACCAAGCAAGCTATCGCTTTATCACAAATGGGTGTGAGAATTTTGGTTCCTGTGTGAATGGAGAAGTTGCAGCTTCTATACTAACAGACTGACATTCCTAGCTGTAGGTAATTAGGTTTTTTGCCTTCTTAGAAATAGCTGAAGATGGTGTCCTTCAGCATCTTTCAAGATCTGCACTACGTATGGTTTACAAATTCAGTTTCTAAGCCAGGTGCTGGTGTCTCACACCTATAATCCTAGCTACTCTGGAGGCTGAGATCTGAGGATTGTGGTTTGAAGCCAGCCCAGGCTGGCTTCAATTACAGAAAAAGCCAGAAGTGGAGCTGTGACTCAAGTGATAGAATGCTTTAGCCTTGAGCTAAAGAAGCTCAGGGACAGTGCTCAGGCCCTGAGTCCAAGCCCCAGGACTGGCGCACGCACGCGCGCGCGCGCGCACACACACACACACACACACACACACTTAAGTGTCCAAAATATAATAGGTTACACAAATAGCTCATAGAATGATATCTCCAGTCATTTTATTACCTTTAGGGCATTTAACATTCATTGAGGAGAGCTAGTAAGCCAGGGGTTTCACACCTGTCTTAAACAAAAATGAGCAGTTAGGTGTATCTGTCCACAGTATGTTTTTAAACGTGATTGACTTTCCACTTTGTTCCTGGCTCAGTAGCAGACCTGCAGTTAATGAGTGATGTCCCCTGCCTTCTCCTTTAAGCCTGGGATTCCCACAGGGTATCAATCCCTCCTGAAGATGAATGAAATGCAACTTGCTAAAAATTCTTCTGCTCACCACAAAATATAGACAGTAACATCCCTCACTAGCTGCCTGGGTTCTACCACAGGCAATATGGCCTGCTTCAGCTCACCCCCCATGTGACACAAAGCTCTCTGATAAACTGGGTGCTGGCAGCTCATGCCTGTAATCCCAGCTACTCAGGAGGCTGAGATCTGAGGATCACAGTTTGAAGTCAGCCCAGGCAGGAACGTCTGTGAGACTCTTATCTCCAACTAACCACCGGAAGTGGAGCTGTGGCTCAAAGTGTTAGAGCTCTAGAATAGAAGGTCAGAGATAGTGCCCAGGTCCTTAGTTCAAGCTCCATGACTGGCACCCCCCCCAAAAAAAAGTGTCTCATTTTGTGCTTTCATTTGATTAAAGACAGAAAGTATCATTAATTGAAGAGTGGCTAAGAAAAAAAATCACATTAGATTCTTGCATGGCATTTCCAAGTTCACCCCAAAGCAAGAAGCCATTGTTGAAGTTGATACTGTGTCCCACCTGAGCGATTGTCACAATGGTTCTATAGCACTTAAAGCAATGTGGGTTTGGGCTGGGAATGTGGCTTAGTGGTAGAGTGCTTGCCTAGCATGCATGAAGCCCTGGGTTCGATTCCCTGGTACCACATACACAGAAAAGGCCAGAAGTGGCGCTGTGGCTCAAGGGCTAGCCTTGAGCATAGAGAGACTCAGGGACAGTGCCCAGGCCCTGAGTTCAAGCACCAGGACTGGCAAAAAAAATTAAAAAAAAATAAAGGAATGTGGGTTTGGGACTCACGTTCAGTGGCAGGTGTTTTGGTTTGGCCTTTCCTCACACGCTCTTCCTGTCTCCTTGAAAGCATGAGGCCCAATATCTTCCTGGGCGTCAGCGAAGGATCCGCTCAGTATAAGAAATGGTACTATGAGCTCATGGTGGACCACACGGAACCCTTCGTGACGGCCGAGGCCACCCACCTGCGGGTGGGCTGGGCTTCCACCGAAGGCTACTCCCCCTACCCCGGAGGGGGCGAGGAGTGGGGCGGCAATGGAGTCGGCGACGACCTCTTCTCCTACGGGTTCGATGGCCTTCAGCTCTGGGCAGGTAGGCGCGGTCTCTGTTTGCTCTCGTGTTTCGGGAGGGACATGGTGGGGCGTCTCTGAAAGTTATTGGCACGGCTTCTTTGGGGATTGTTTGTTATCCAGAAATCAAAAGCAGCGTTTCAGTAGGGCAGAAGGAAGAGGTGTCCGCACCATTGCATGTCTCCAAGGGGGTAGATTGCTTTCCCGAGCAATGTATGTAAGAAGTGACATTCCAATGCATGGTGAGCTTGCAAAAAAAGTGTGTGTGTGTGTATGGGTGTGTATGTCCAACTTGCTCTAATTGGCATGTGCAAAGATCTAGCTTCTACTGCAAGCAAAGTACAAACACAAACCCTGGATGTAACAGGGAGAAGTCAGCTACTCCAGCCTTCTGCAAGAGAAGGGAAAGGCTAGAACCAGCAACTTACAAAGCTCCAGGTAGAGTCTACTCATAGTGAAATAGCACTTTGCTTAGAAAAATAAGGAAATGTATAATTCATGCCACCAGCTTCTGCCTCTCGGGCTCTGTGGTCGAAGGTGTACGAAACATGAATACCGTGAGGTAGTACAAATAGGACTCTTTGCTCTGATTCATAAAGTTATTGGATGACTGAGAAGCTTGGCTCTTGCGTTGGTTGGAGCTGTTTAGCTATTATGATAGTATATAGAGCTACATTTCGAATTTAGTCTTGGGATGGCCCTGCCTATCTTGGTACTGGAAGACATAGTAGGTTTCTCTCCCTTCCTTCTCTCCTCTTGAGCTTAAGGCCACAACTTGCTAGGCAGGAACTCTATACTTGAGCCACACGTCCAGCCCTTTTTTGCCTTGGTGATTCTTTTAGGCAGCCCCTCTTCCCCCACCCCCGCCCCCCTGTGGGGGCTGGTCCCGGCTGCTGCTTGTCACCAAGGATGACGGGCATGTGCCACTGTGCCCAGCCACTGTGCTTCCCCAGTAGCTCGCATTACACAGGCTCATTCTCCAGCCATGGTTGAGATGGTGTCTTGTGAACTTCGATACCCGGGCTGTTCTTGAACCATGATCTCATGACCTCTGCCTCCCAGATGGCCAGAACTACATGCCTGAACCACCAGGCCTGGCCTCCCCATTTCGTTTCTTCTTAATGGTTGATACAGGGTTTAGAGTTCCTAGTGTAAGCAATTTCTAGGAGACAGCAGATGTTTTATCCATGAACATTTAGACACTGGAGAGAGTGGACATAGTTCTTAGAATCAGGGCCTGGCTCAGAATCCTGAGCAAAGTACTTGAGACCCCCATCTCCACCAGTAAAAACCTAAGCATGGTGGTCTATGTCTGTAATCCTACTGCACGGGAAGCATAAATAGGAGGATTGCTGTTCCAGCAATTGTGAGCATGAATGCCCCAAACACAAAGAGCTAGAGATGTGGCTCAAGTGGCAGAATGCTTGCTTAACAAACAGAGCACTCTGAAGTCATACCCAGTATAGCAAATACTATCATAGCTGTCAAAATAAATCTTCATCTGTTCTCTCACATTTAAACTCTGTGTACACTTGTGATTTGGGCCTCCCTGATGTTTAAAAGGAAACAAATGTTTGCAAAGTCTCTATGCTTTTACAGATTTTAAATGTGGAAGAAGCAAGGGGAAGGACATCCTAGGGGCACAGGAAAGACAGACAGATGATGCCTTGTCCAAGATCTACACATCTCCTTTCTGTCCCTGTCCAGCAGATACAACACGAAATGACCCCTGAGAAGTCACACCATGGCTTTACATAAATGCACTGTCCTGATGCTGTCATTGGCTTCAACACTGGGAGCGCTGTCCATCCATGACCTCCGTGTGTGACCTCACCAGTGGCCTTCTCTGTCCTTCCTGTTTGTTCTAGGCATTGCAAAGCAGCGTTTTATGGACAGTGTTAGCAGTAGTTAGGATTGGCATTAATCATATCCCTGACCAAAGTGTTGGGGACAGTAAATCCTTATTTTCTATATAGTAGCTAAAATAATAACATTTTCATTAACTATTCATCTTGGAACAAACAAAGAGACCTTCTTCAACATGCTACATGGTTGTTGTTTTTTAAGCTACCTCTTTTTTTTTTGTCAGTAATGGGGCCTGAAGTCTGGGCCTGGGCGCTGTTCCTCAGCTCTTCAGCTCAAGGCGAGCACTTTACCACTTGAGCCACAGTGCCACTTCTGGTGGTTTTCTAGTGGTTTATTGGAGATACGAGTCTCATGGACTTTCCTGCCTGGGCTGGCTTTGAACCGTGATCCTCAGATCTCAGCCTCCTGAGTAGCTAGGATTATAGGCGTGAGCCACCAGCACCCGGCTACTACCTCTTTTTTTCAAGCTCAAGCTACCTCTATATTTTTATTTATTTATTTTTTTTTGGTCCGGTCATGGGGCCTGAACTCTGGGCCTGGGCGCTGTCCCTCAGCTCTTCAGCTCAAGGCTAGCGCTCTACCACTTGAGCCATAGCGCCACTTCCGGCTTTTTTTTTCTTTTTGCTTATGTGGTACTGAGGAATCGAACCCAGGGCCTCAGGCATGCAAGGCAAGCCCTCTGCCACTGAGCCACCTTCCCAGCCCTACCTCTATATTTTTAAAGCACTGTATTACTTGCAAGTTTGAACATCAGTAAAATTAAAACATGTCCTTTTTTTGTCCCCCCCAAGTAGATAGCATTTATCACTGGTGTTTCAAATAAGTTGCCTATAGAACCCTTGGCATGCTAGGTGTAAAAAGAGGTGCTGTGGAGGTGTGAAGTGTACACTGTGAGATCTGTTTTTGTCTTGGTTTGAATTGAGGGGTATGTCTGGGCTTGTCCACGTGTGTATTTGGGACAGGGGGACACCTGCCCTTCCCTTCTTCCCAGGCTGTTGTGAGAAGCCCAGACATATGTCCCTGGTGTTGGCATTCATTGGCAAATGAATAGAGTCAGGAATGGGTTCAGATCCTTGGCTGGCCAGGGCACGAAATGACACTAATCAAATATCATTTTCATGCGTCTCGTCCTATCCTGCTCTATTACAAGGCCAACTGTGATCTCACATAAAATAAATTCAATTATGAAACAAAAGCAAATTGGCATATGATTGTCTCAGAACAAACAGTACACTGTGAGAACAAATGACATAGGATTTTGCTCTCATTATCTTCACTTTTATGTTGAATGGACAGAGCAGGGAGGACTTAGTATTGGAGAGAGGATCTGGCATGGAGTGCTCACTGTGCCAAAGACTGTGTTACTTGTAAACCATGATTCAATCATGGTACTAATTCTAGAAAGTATTTGGTGCTCTAGTTATTAGAAATCAAGGCATGGAAGTTCAAGTTCATCCCTGTACTCCCAGCTACTCAGTTGTTCGTGATTGGCAGATTATGGTTCAAGGGAATCCTGGATAAAAGTACATGAGACCCCATCTCAACCAGTAAAAACCTAGGCATGGTGGTCTATGCCTGTAATCCTACACAGGAAGCATAAATAGGAGGGTTGCTGTTCCAGCAATTGCGAGCATAAATGCCAAAACCACAAAGAGCTAGAGATGTGGCTCAAGTGGTAGAGTGCTTGCTTAACAAATAGAGCACTCTGAAGTAATACCCAGTATAGCAAATACTATCATAACCATCAACATAAAAAGATCAAGGTTCAAAGAAGATAACTACTGGCCAGTGGTTGTGCACGTTGGCAAGGTAGCTATTGGAAGTCAGATCTCTTCCTGGAAATTGTCCGCTCACAACCTCATAATAATGGGTAGAATAATTTCTATGATCAGACATCATCCGCTTACACACAGAAATGTCTACCTAGTATAAGTCCATTTCCAAAGAAGCAGCACACTTCCCCAAATCAAAGCCACTTATTATTGTCATCATCATGATCATCATCATGATCATCGTCATGATCATGATCATCATCATCGTTATTTTGATCATGAGTTTAGCTCACAAGTAACATTAGTTTCCATTCATTCCAGACTTGGTTGACTGGGTCAGTTGTGTGCTCTGGTCGGTCGGGGCTGTCAGCTCGGAGCTGGCAACTCTTGTCGTGGCTGCAACGTGAGCTCCCTGTGTCTCCCTGGTGATAGGTTGCGTGGCCCGGACAGTCAGCTCCCCCAACCAGCACCTCCTGAGGACTGACGATGTCATCAGCTGCTGTTTGGATCTGAGCGCCCCCAGCATCTCTTTCCGCATCAACGGACAACCTGTTCAAGGGATGTTTGAGAATTTCAACATCGACGGCCTCTTCTTTCCCGTGGTCAGCTTCTCTGCAGGCATCAAGTGAGTGTGCCCCTGGTCCAGGGTCTGGTTCTACTCGTATTTGCACAGAGGACCATGCCTGGCTTCACATTGCTTCTCTCGCCTCTGTTCCTCCCTCCTGGGAGGTGGCATCTGCCCAGGGGCCGTGTTGCTTCTTCTCAGGAAGAAGAGGGAAGGTTCACCTGGGAGGTCCTCTCCCGAGGGTACCCATGCCTGGCCTGCCTATCCATCCCAGGGTCTAGCTGGGAGTGTGTATCCTGAAATAGTCCAGGACATTGTCTTAAGTTCCATAAGGGGACATGGACAGTACTGTGAAGAAACCACCTGTTTGCGCCTGTGGGCTTTTTTGTCCCATTCCGGCCCTCATGACCTCACTGGGCAGAAATGGATGTGCTTTCTGGGGATGAGGTTTACCTGTGGCTCACCTTGAATTTCTCTGCCTGCCCCCAACTGACCTGCTGGGTCTCTGTGGCTTTCTCTCTTTCCATGCTTCCCCTCTGGCCTTCCCTCTTCTCACAGGGGCAGGGGTAGTGAAAATGATTGAATGTGTGATGGTCAGTCACAGTATGGAACCACCCTGCCCTCTGTTGTATTTTTGTGTCTGCCTTAATGTGATTCCCTCAGTCCTACTGACTGTGTCCTTATTTTGCTTGTTAAAAAGTAGTCACAAGAGATCTGAGGATCATGGTTCAAAGCCAGCCCAGGCAAGAAAGTCTGTGAGACTCTTATCTCCAATTAACCACCAGAAAACAGGAAGTGGCACTGTGGCTTAAGTGGTAGAGTGCTTGCCTTGAGCTGAAGAACGCAGGGACAGCACCCAGGCCCAAAGTTCAAGCCCCATGACCGACCAAAACAAAAAAAAGTCACAAGGTCTGGGAGTATGGCTTAATTTTAGAGCACTTGCCTTGCATGCCTGAAGCCCTGGGTTTGGTTCCTCAATACCACATAAGCAGAAAAGGCCAGAATTGGCTGTGGTTCAAGTGGTAGAGTGGTAGGCTTGACATGAGGAGCTCAGGGAAGCGCCCAGGCCTGAGTTCAAGCCCCAGGACTGGCAAAAAAAAAAAAAAGTCACATCTCCTCCTGACACGATCCCTCATTACAAAAGTTAAGTGCTGAGTGATCATGAAATATCATGTAAAAATTACCTTTTCTAGTGTATTTATGCAAATTGTGCTTCTTTCTATAGGTCTCTGAGTAATTTTATTTCTCCTTTTTGTTCTTTTTTTTTTTTTTGGGTCCGGTTGTGGGGCCTGAACTCTGGGCCTGGGCGCTGTCCCTCAGCTCTTCAGCTCAAGGCTAGCGCTCTACCACTTGAGCCACAGCACCACTTCCAGCTTTTTTCTTTTTGCTTATGTGGTGCTGAGGAATAGAACCCAGGGCCTCATGCATGCAAGGCAAGCGCTCTACCACTGAGCCATCTTCCCAGCCCTCCTTTTTGTTCTTTGTTCTTTGCTTTTTAAAAAATTTTATTCCCTTCTACTCTCATTTATTCCAACCTTTCCTTTCTTTTCTTGTTTTTTTTGGGGGGGTGGGGTGGGAGAGGAGATCTGTAGCTTTCAGTTTAGAAGCTTTCAAATTAGGAAAGGGGCTGATAAGGAAAAGGAAAAAGAATTGAATTTGTTTTCTTGTGAGCCGGTTGCCCCCAAGAAATCACGATCACTTAACTGTTTCAAAAGTACGTCTTAGGATGTGAGGGCGATCTGGCTGCGACATCTGTCTCCCCATTGATCGCTAGGGTTGATTCGGCTGATCTGGCTGGCTAGGCGGTGTCCCCTTCCTCCCTCACCGCTCCATGTGCGTCCCTCCCGAAGCTGCGTGCTCGGTCAAAGAGGACGACCATCCCCGATAGAGGAGGACCGGTCTTCGGTCAAGGGTATACGAGTAGCTGTGCTCCCCTGCTAGAACCTCCAAACAAACTCTCAAAAGTATGTCTTATTCAGTGGCAATCAAACGACATTATTGGTGCTGAAAGGAGGGTGATGTTCCAGGTATTTCTGGAAGTTGATCGTAGTTGAAAATGAGGAGCAAAAATAAAGAAGGCCGCTTGAGTTCCTCAGCACAAGCCCGCTTTCAGGACACATGAACTTGGACACTGGAAAATAGGTGTTTTTTTTCTTCTTTATACCTAGACCTGCCCTGTGGTTTTGAAGCATACAGATGCTGAGGTCATATCTTCCTTTGTCTGGGGATGTTGAGCGAGCAGTTCTGTGAGCTTGCTTACATGGATATGGCGTGTGGGCTTTAAGGGGCTTCTCCTAGCTCTAACTTGGTCTTCACTGGCCTGGTTCATGTCTTTTCTCTTCTGATCAGTACAACACCCTCCTGTTTTACCTTTTATGTGATTCTAAGCTGGTGATGTTATTATACTGAGGGAAACAACCTGGCTTCTGATAAAGCATGATTTTTTGTACCAATGATTTTCTGTTTTGTTAACTAGGAAACTTTGGCCTGCACCAAAGACGCACTTGGCCCTGAAATGCGTTGTTTTCCTTTTCAGGGTGCGTTTTCTGCTAGGAGGGCGACATGGAGAATTTAAATTCCTCCCTCCACCCGGGTATGCGCCTTGTTATGAAGCTGTTCTTCCAAAAGAAAAATTGAAAGTGGAGCACAGCAGAGAATACAAGCAAGAAAGGACGTACACGCGAGACCTGCTGGGCCCCACCGTCTCCCTCACCCAGGCCGCCTTCACCCCCGTTCCTGTGGACACCAGTCAGGTACTGGAGCAGCTGCCACAGCCCTGGCTTGCACTGTAGCTCTCCTGACTTCAGTGGCTTCCAAGGGGGAACTGCAGGCTGGGGGCGGGGCCTCAGGAATGTCACTCACATGTCAGATTTAAGCAAGTGACAGGTGATGATGTTCCTTGATCCTCCCTCCCTCCCTCCCTCCCTCCCTCCCTCCCTCCCTCCCTCCTTCCTTCCTTCCTTCCTTCCTTCCTTCCTTCCTTCCTTCCTTCCTTCCTTCCTTCCTTCCTTCCTTCCTTCTTCTTTCTCTCTCTCTTTTTTTTTTTGGCTAATCCTGGGGCTTGAACTCAAGGCATGGGCACTGTTCCTGAACTTCTTTTGCTCAAGGCTAGCGCTTGAGCCACAGGGCCACTTCCAGCCTTTTCTGTGTAGTTTATTGGAGATCAGAGTCTCACAGACTTTCCTGCCTAGGCTGGCTTTGAACTGTGATCCTCAGATCTCATTGTCCTGAGTAGCTAGGATGACAGGTGTGAACCACTGGCACCGGAATATTTCCTCGTAAGAGTTGCTCCAACTCAGTAAGTTAATCAAGGTGAAGTTTTGCAAACACTATTCTGGGATGTCTTTAAAGTTTTATTTAAAAAGTTAATATTTAGTCTGACTTTTTTTAAGTGAGTAATAACAGCAACAAATAGAGTTTAGTTGCACAATTTTCCAAGGGACGTTAAGGTGTAATAGTGTTGTTGGGATAACAACACACTGATGTAATGTGCACTGATTTTAAAGTGTGCATTTTTATGCACCGTAGGCCTGGGGTTTTCATGCTGTCTCCCATATAGATGGAGCTGTTGTGTTGAGGACGCTGCACTGACTTGGTCTTGGCTAGAGACTGGGTCCCAGGGCCAGCGTGCCCCAGATCAAATGCCCACTCTGGACGCTGGGGAAGGCCAGCCATCTGACTGCGGGAATGCCGAGAGCATGCGTGCTTCACTGGGAGACACAGCCGTTCACACACACATACTTCCCAGGCATGGGAGCCATTGTGGTGCTTTCCTGTCTACTTGCATAGACAGGCAGGAGGGTTTCTCAAGATGGCACCATCCCCACCCTTCCTTGTGAAGCCATTCTGTTGAACTTTCTCCTGTGAGAACGGGGAGAGGTCTTTTCCTTTGAGGTATGTCTTTGGGAACCCAGAAGAGTTCAGGGGAAATACAAACCACAGCCAGACTGCTGCAGGCTCTACGAGCCAGGGAATTTGAACCTGGCACTGACTTCGCCTTGATCCCTGCTGCTGGCTGGCTGGCTGGCGGAAGAGCACGCACGCCTTCACTTTTCACATTCTGCTGCCTTCCGTAGATGTCTCTTATGTCCCAGTCATCTTTCGGGTGCCTCGCCAGCCCGACACTTTTGTTCACTGATTTCCTTGGAAACTTAAATTGTCATGCATAAAGAAAAGTAGAGAATTAATACTATGAGGTAAGTCAGGTGTTGGCGGTGTACATGTGTGATCCTAGCTACTCAGGAGGCCAAGGCCTGGAGGATGGTGATTTGAAGCCAGGCCAGGCAGAAAAGTTCACAATACTTCATCTCTAATTGACCAGCAAAAAGTTGGGCCGGAGATGTGGCTCAAGTGATAGAGTGACAGCCATGTCTAAGCAAGCTAAGAGAGCACAAGGCCCTGAGTTCAAGCCCCAATACTGCCCACCCCACAGAGAATATCACCAGAGAGAACATCTTTAGAACTTAGTTATCTTACTATGTCAACAGCTTATGAGGCAGGGTACTTTAGACCAGTTTGTGGCAAGGAAGAACTCCTTCTGTGTCTTACTACATTTGTTCCTGACCTGTGGTTTTTCTTCTTTTAAATTTTAGATCGTTTTACCTCCTCACCTCGAAAGGATCAGAGAAAAGCTGGCGGAGAATATCCATGAGCTCTGGGTTATGAATAAAATTGAACTTGGCTGGCAGTATGGTCCGGTACATGATTTTAGAATTTATTTTCAGTTCCTGTTAATAATACATCTTCTTTAAAACATATTCCCCCCCCCACTCCATCTTGCAATGGGGTGATAGGAATCAATCAGATTGATTTCTTTTGGTGCATATTAGGTTTTCTGCATGGAGGGAGGGTGGAGGTTGATATTACCTGCAGGATCTCTGCAGGCGGCCACGTCTCCTGGACAATGGGAAAGTGGCCCATCTTTGGGCTGAAAGTTGTGTTTTAAAAGCAGAGTTCACAGAGACTGGGTTTTACAAACGCAGTCACACTGCAGGTGGAAAGCGGAGTGGGAGAGGTAGGTCCTCTCCTTGGCACATGCCTCTCGGCCTGGTTGTGCCCCGTGGCAGGAGCCAGGGCAGGATGCAGTGGAGGATGGGCTGGGGAAAATGACGGCATGTCTTTCCAAATGCTTATCACTTATAATTTGTCTCTACACTTTAGATGTAGCAAACAGACAAAACAATTTCCCGTGCTATCCCAGTACATGAGAAACCTGGTTTTTTTGTTTTATGTTTTAGCAGGAGCTTGGTAATACTTTTGATTTTACAGTGTTATTATTCTAAATGCTCCTAGACCTGCAATGCCTCCTGCTCTTAGACTGAGTATAGGAATGAGTGTGTTCCCATCTGCACACATAGATCACCACATTTTGCTCTGAGTCAAGAGCACTTGTTTCCAGTGCTAGTTCTAATATCCTAGAGTACTCAAAACTGCTTTGCAGTACGTGTGCGTACATGTGTGCATGTGTGTATGTACATGGGCCTATGTGTGCATGTGCAGGCTTGGTAATCATTTATGGTTGTGTGTGCCTGTGTGTGCCTGTGTGAACACAGGGGTGTTCACACAACGAAGTTACAAGTTGACTAACCATGGAGGAGCAGTGCCCCCTAAGTGGAGGACTCAGGTGTAAAAGCAGAGGTGGAAGGAATGACCAGGACATTTTTGGTAGCACAGCATTGCCTGGATAGAGAACAGGAGGCCCGGGTGAGGGGAGTAGAGGTGGAAGTCTGATTGCGTGGGCAGGAGGCGGTCACAGAGGACTGTGTGTGATTCCGTAGGGAGCTGAAGAAGGCTCTGGAGGGTGGGTGCATGGGGGAGCTTTGCTCTTAGGTGTAAGAGCAAGAGGCTGGGCAGGAGGAGGGCAGGGAGAAGCCGGGAGCCAGTGTGAGAGGGAGCATTTCCCAGTCCTGTCTCTGACAGTGGGGACTGAGGGGCGTGGCTACCGGCCTTCCTGTGTTCATGCTCCAGAAGAGAGAAAGGAACGTGACAGTATGGGCTTATCTCTGGCATAGGGAATAGTAGAGTACAGAAATAGGGGGTCAGAGCCTCAGGACTCAGATGCATTCCTTTGCCCTTTCATGTTTAGAATTCAGGATTAGGGATATAGAATTAAATTTTGTAACAACAGTGCCCAGGCCCAGAGTTCAAATCCCATGACTGACAAAAAAAAAATTGTAACTCAGTTTAATTTATAAGTCTGATTCCTTCATAATGGTCACAAGAAAGAAAAGAATAAAGACGTATTATAATAATGATGATGTGATGATGTCTGATTCCTTCATAATGATTACAAAAAAGGAAAGAATAAAGACATTTTATCATTATTATTAATGTTGTTGTTCTTTGTTGCTGTTTCTAAGGTTTGAACTCAGGACCTGGGCACTGTCCCTGAACTTTTTTGCTCAAGACTAGCACTCTACTACTTGGGTCACAGTTCCACTCCTGGTTTTTGGTGGTTGATTGGAGAAAGAAATTTCATGGACTTTGTTATCCAGGCTGACTTAGAACTGTGATTCTCTTTTTTTTTTTTTTTGGGTCCGGTCATGGGGCCTGAACTCTGGGCCTGGGCACTGTCCCTCAGTTCTTCAGCTCAAAGCTAGCGCTCTACCACTTGAGCCACAGCGCCACTTCCGGCTTTTTTCTTTTTGCTTATGTGGTGCTGAGGAATCGAACCCAGGGCCTTGAGCATGCAAGGCAAGTGCTCTACCACTGAGCCACCTTCCCAGCCCCAGAACTGTGATTCTCTTATCTCAGCCTCCTGAGTAGCTAGGATTACAGGCGTGAGCCACTGGTGCCTAGAAAAGATGTCCTTTCTGACTTGGCACCTTATGTAGATTTAAAAAGAAGTTCTTATTCATGTTTGCATGCCTCTCCTGCGGCACTGACAGAAGCTGGTAAATGTCCGTGGTGTCATCAGTCTGCCCCAGTGGGCTTTTAGCTGTCCTCTGGATGCCACCACAGCAGGGTTGCACCCGTAATCTTTATCTCTACCAAGATTTTAACAAGACTCATTATGAAGGCAAGGGTGGGGAACATCTTTCTCCTTCATTCTTTCCTAAAAATCTAGAATTTGGTGTGATGGCGAAGCTAGTAGACTCTTGTTAACTTTGGGTTCTACATCCATGGATTCAGAGAAAAATGTTCTCTCTACTGGACATATACAGATTCCCTTTTATTTGTGGTAGCTTTGACACCCGATCAGGTCTCGCGAGTCAGGTAGAGATGGCTTCGCTTGTGCAGGAGGAGATTCATAGGTGATTGCCACCCATCAGGACATTTTCTGGAAGGTCGTTGAGCAAGCTTGGGTTGTTTTACTCACTGACTCCTTTGTGGGTACAGAGGAGTAACTGACCGTAGACATGTCTCAGGATTTCTTCAACAATGCCTTTATCATGCAGACTCATTTGATTAGAGTAGAGGAGTAAGTTGAGAACAGAAGGCAACTTCCCAGAAAGACCGTGCAGCGTTTGTAGCTATCCTGCTTATTAATACCTCTGATTAGTGGGCCCAAGGCAGACGGATGACTGCAGATGAAAACGAAGTCTTTATCGCACATTCTGACACAGAATGCATCTCAGCTTATAAAATATTTACTTGATGTATGAAATGTTTGTTGAGTGTCTGCCACATGTCGGGTGTGTCCTCGCTGTTAGGGCCACAGGAAGGAGTAAAAGAGGCCCAAGTCCTTGCTCCTCTGTCTTACCTTCTGGTGCTGGGAGGGTAGACTGTTTCCCAGTAAGTGGGCATCCACTTTGTGACAGGTGGTGAGGATGGACAGATTTTATTTTAATGTAGGATGGATGGGCAGACTGCCATAGTTGGCAGAATTCCAATTTGAATAAGAAGATCTCAGCAAACACTGGAAAGAGCCAAGCCAGCTGGCATGTGGGCATGAGCAAGCAGGGCAGAGGCACACGGGGGCTGAGGAAGGAGCCGTTCCAGAGAAGAGAGCAGAACACAGAGGATGCTGCCCTTTACCTCTGGCTGTAACCTTTGATGGGAGTGGATCCCTGGAGATGCCAGAAGCTTCTCTGGGGATGTGGAGGGGGCATGGTGATCTAAGTGCTCCTTCTTGCTTTCTACTTCTGGGCATACAGTGAAGTCATCACTGCACGTGTTTGATTTTGGAGACCATGATATGCCAATTTCCTGTGCTGTTTCAGGTCAGAGATGATAATAAGAGACAGCACCCGTGCCTGGTGGAGTTCTGCAAGCTGCCCGAACAGGAACGCAATTACAATTTGCAGATGTCCCTTGAGACCCTGAAGTGAGTGTGATATCTTTTTGTATTTTCTGATCTCTCTCACCTAAAGGAAGTCAAATATTGGAGTGTTTTACTTTAATTCGTCACAAAGTTATTTGCGTTCCAGCAGGAACTTTCCAGAGGGCCCAAGTGAATCAGAATGATTCTCACCATTATTGGTGAGAATTAGACTATGATCTAATTTGTGTGTGTGTATATGTGTGTATGTGTGTGCCAATCTTAGGGCTTGAATTCAGGGTCTATGCGCTGTTCCTGAGCTTTGCTCAAGGCTAGCCCTCTACCACTTGAGGCTAGCTCTCTACCATCTGGCTTTTTGGTGGTTAGGATTATGGCATGAGCTACCAGTGCCCAGCTGGTCTCATTATTTTATGTTTTGTTGTTCTGCATCAGTATTTCCCAAATGGTGTGTTACAGAATTTTGAGTTTGTGAACTGACATAGTATGACTCATAGTAGAGCGAGGGACCTAGGCCATCCACATACTGGTCTTGGCTTGTCACAAAACAAGTGTGAGATGTTAAGAGGGAATATTTAGAAACTGATATCAACTTCAGGGAGAAAAGTTTATGTCTGTTAAAAATGTAGGTGAATATCATATATTTTATAGTTTTTCACTTTGGAGAATTAGATTTTTCTCTAATAATTTTAATGTATTTTTATCAGAGAATCACAAAAGAGAGACTGGAAATGAAGCAAAAATAGTTTTCTTCACTGAAGATCACTTTGGACCCAAAATATATAGAGGATGTGCTATTAAAATAATTAGAGAGATTTTTATTGACAAGTGTCCTGTTGGTCTCTAAAATGGGACAGAGTCATCTTATGATGTTTTTAAATTGATTTAGCCACAGAAATCTTTTTACAGGAAGAGCCTCTGGGACCATTTCTCTCTGTAGCATATTTTGAGAACAGCTACTCTAGGCTATTTTGTGTCATCTTATAAAGGCAATTTTTCTTTTTAGTGACTTTTTGCTTATCAATCTCTTTAATTTACCACATTTTCAGTTGGAAGAATGGATCTGGGGTAGGACAAATTAAGCAATGTATTTTCAAATTTATCTAGATAAAAGATTCAGAAAACAATTGTGCAATCTTTTTCTTTGCCTTCTTTCTGTCCCTTGACTTGGTTCCAAGAGTCCTCCCTACCCTTGTCTGCTCTCATATTGCTTGTTTTTTAAGAGCCAGGGCTAATTTCCAGTGAAGTTATTGCTCCAAGGAGCTAGAACATAAACCTTAAATAATGTTTAGATTCTAGGATTTGGACTCAAGCATCTACTATAAAAGATGCAGATTCATTATCATGGAAATAGTCAAATAAAGCACAGAGCATGAGTGTAGGTTGTCCCAGTAACTCTGAGGAAGAAGGAATTTATATACATCAAGAAAATCAAGAACCAACTAGGTTGAAAACATGACACATCCTTTTGGATATAAGAATGCACAGCCTGATCCACCCTGTTTTGTAGTAAATATCTCCTGTTTCCCTTTGTGGCCGTGACACCAAGTGAGCTTGCTACATCCAGTCCTGTAACTCATGATAGCTCATTATTCCCCAACGTTTGCAACATAATTCAGTTAAGTCTGCCGTCCGTTCCTTATCATTCTGGAAATTGACAGCTAGGCCAGCCATGGCACGGTACGTTCTGGTGGGCAGAGCTCTCCCTGCTTATATTTTGTTATGCTGAACCTCTGCCAAGTGCGTGCATATACCAGTCTCCTTCCCAAACCCTGCTTCTGGCTGTGGTCATTAATCATCAGATGCCTTGGTGTGGGTGGGGTGTGGCTCCCCATTGTCAATGCAAACGGCTCTGTTTCCTGAGCTAACCCTTCACATTGCTGTGCTGTTTCTTACAGTGACAATGGTGTACATGATGGTTTTATCATGAACGGATTGTACCTGCTTCTTTGCCAGTTCAATGATATTTGAGCTTGCCTCTCCATGACTTACACTTTGTGCAGTTCCACTCATGCAAAGGAAGCATAGTGCTTGCTTGTTTAATTTCCAGTGCTCATTCATTTATTGACCGGTAGCTGCAGCGACTGTGTGCCTCTGGAGATGGTCGGTCTTCAGTGATGGCCCTTACCAGCAGGCTTTTCCTGTGGTGCTCAACCTCTCTGAGTCTCAGGGTTTGTTCTGCCTGGTGGCTTGGAGATTGTACACAGGGGAGCTGTCCTAGGGCCTGTGTGACAGGTGTCACAACACCTTCAAAACCCCATGCCCCGTAGAGGGAATGTACATGCTTGTTGACTTTATTTCCTTTTGCTTGTTCACTTCATTTGTTTCGATCCTGCGAAGTTATGAGTCAAAAAATAGATGAGAAAATTCTCCCAGAATACCTCTTATGTTGAGCTGAGGTAAATCATCACAGAAACTCTCGTGCTTGACTTGGCATAGACACAGAGCCCTAGCTACCAGGGGGTAGGAGAATCCCTAATGCTGTTCACTTTTGTGAGAGGAGGCAACCAGAGAGAAGAGGATCCAGAGAGATATATCTATTCAGGAGATTTCTGTGTCATTTCCATTTCTAGTCTTAGCTCTTTGGAGTACATAATTTAGAAACAAATGTGTTTTCCTGTTGGTTAAAAACAGGAAACATGTGTCCCGCTGTCGCATTTGCTACGGGGGTTGGTGTTGGATCCGGGATGGCCTTCCTGTAGCTCACCTAGGCCTTTGTGTTCCAGGACCTTGCTGGCTCTGGGGTGTCACGTGGGGATAGCAGATGAACATGCGGAAGAAAAGGTGAAGAAGATGAAGCTTCCCAAGAAGTGAGTGAGGGAGTGCCAGCACCGGGAATGGACACGTCCATGTCACACTTCCCAGGTTGCACTTGGTAGACACACACATGTCTTGTACACTTAAGCTGTATAAAGTGGGTCCCCAAATACACCCAAGCTCATCACACTAGGGTCTGTGGTGGAGAGATTGGATCTACCATGTTACAGAGAGAGAAGGAAGAAAAGTGCAGCATAAATTTGGGAGTGTGTGATTGAAGTGTTCTGTTTTTCCAAGTGTGTGTATATATAGGGGTATGTGAACGTATGTCCACATTTCTACATGATTATATATAATGTGCCATTTCCTGACAGCATTGTACATACCTTCATTTGCTTTTGTTTAAAAAAATGCTCTTGAGGAATCAACCTGAAGTCAGTGTGATCATCCTTATGAGAGGATGAGAACAAGCAAGGTGGTTGAATTCTGTCGGGCTGGGTCACCTGAGGTGCCACCACCTGTGGCTAAGACATTGTTTAACTTCTTAAAACCGTGCCCTTCTCCCCTGAGACCAGGCCTTAGTGACCCTTGCTTCTTAAAGACATCTCAGTATTTAATGACTAAGAGTTAAATAATGGTGATTTTGTCATGCTGTTATTTTTTTCTTCTTTTATTTCCCCTGGATTATCTTTTGTTTAAAAAACCATTATTGTAAAGGTGATATACAGAGGGGTTACAGTGACACAAGTCAGGTAATGAGTATATTTCTTTTTGAACAGTGTTACCCCTTTCCCTGGTTTTCTCCCAGTTTCCCCCTCCCAACCCTACCCCCTACAAATTGTATAGTTCATTTTCAACATAGTGTTTAGTAAATATCACAGCTACAATTGTTCATTCTTTGTCCCAATATTTCTGTGCTCCCCCTTTACCTTTCCCCTAACAGATAAACTTACATTTAAAACAAAAGGTAGAGAAAAATCAGTGACAAAGGAGAAAAACAAAAACAAACCCAAGAAACAAAATAACAGAAAAACCTCATTTCTTTTTCTTGAAGTTTATTTCAAGAAACATCATTTTATATGTTCATATGGACATAGTTATTGAGCCTTTGTGATCCACTCCTAAGAATATCCTCCTTGCATCTCAAACTGTGTCAATGTCTAGAGATATGTATAGTTTATTATGTCTAAGTATTTTTTTTAAATCTGTTACTATCCAATGTTTTTACTTGTAGATCTATAGGCACATTCCAGCTACCACAAATGAGGGAAACTATGCAACTTATGTTTCTTTGGGTCTGGCTTACTTGGCTTAATGTAATTTTTTCCAAGTCTTTCTATTTCCTTTTATACAATATCATTCTTTCTGATGGATGAGTAGAATTCCATTGTGTATACCACATCATCATACACTGAGGGGGATCTGTGTGGACTGTATATCTTGGCTATGGTAAACAACACTGCAATGAACATGGTTGTGCTGGTAGCTTTCACATGACCTTGTTTGTGGTCAGTTGAGTAAATGCCCAGGAGTGGATAGGGAAGCTTTATGTATGGTCTTTTGAGGAACCTCCATATTGCTTTCCAGAGTGGTCAAACAAGTTTATATTCCTTCCAACATTGTGGTAGCAATCCCTTTTGGCCATATCCTGCCAGCATCTCTTACTGTTAGTTTCTTGATAATAGCCATTCTAACTGGAGTGAGGTGGCCTCAACGTTGTTTTGATTTATGTTTCTCTTATGGCCAAAGATATTGGACATTTCTTTATGTGTCTATTGGTTGTTCTTACTTCTTCTGAGAAGTCTCTCTTTAAGCCTTTAGCCTATTTGTTAATTGGGTAGTTGTTTCTTTGAGGATTTGTTTTGGGGGAGTTTTATTTTTTTGAGATCTAAGTATATTTTAGATATGAGGCCCTTGTCTGATGCTTATCTAGTAAAAATAGTCTCCATTCTGTGCTCTTTCTACTTATCTTGCTAGCTATGGCCTTTGCCATGCAGAAACTCTTCAATCTGATGCAGTCCCATTATCCAGTCTTTCTTTGATTTGTTGTGATTCTGGATCTTTACTTACAAAGTTTCAACCCATGCCTAGGAGCCCTAGTGTTTTCCCTCCCATTCTTGTAATATTCTCAGGGTAGCTGGCCTTACATTGAGGCCTTTGGTCTATTTAAAGTTGCTTCCAGTGCAGGGTGAAATACAAGGATCTAGCTTCAGTTTTCTGCACGTGTACAGCCAATTCTGCCAGCACCATTTGTTGAAGAGGCTGTCTTTCTTACAACCTGTGCTTTTGGCTTCCTTATAAACATTGGCTGTATGTCTATGGGTTCATTTCTGGATCTTCTATTCTGTTCCATTGGTCCTCAGGCCTACTCTTGTGCCAATACCAAACTGTTTTTATTACTATGGCTTTGTAATAGAGTTTGAAGTTTGGTATTGAAATGTCTCCAACACTGTTCTTCCTGCTCTTTTTGCTATTCAGAATCTTTTATAATTCTATATGAATTTTTGGATTACTTTCTTTATATCATTGAAGAATGTTGTTGGGATTTTGGTGGGTATTGTATTGAATTTGTAAATTGCTTTGGGCAGTATTGCCATTTTCACAATGTTAATCCTTCCAATCTAGGAGCGTGGAAAGTTTTTCCATTCCCTTAAATCTGCTGTATTTTTTTCAGATTTTTAAAGTTTCCATAATAGAGGTCCTTTATATCTTTGGTTAGTTCCTAGTTTTATTTTGGCTGTTAGAAATGGAGTTGATTTCCTGATTTCAGCCTTCATCTTTCATTGTTGGCATACAAAAAAGCCAGATTTTTGTGGGTTAATTTTATTCACTGCTACTTTGCCAAGGTTTCAGATCGGCACAAGTAACTTTGGAGAGGAATCTATAGGGTTCTTTAAATACAGGATCATGTCATTTGCAAAGAGGGATAATGTTACTTCTTCTTTCCCTATTTGGATCCCCTTTATGTTTTTCTCTTGCCTTATTGCTCTTGCTCAGAATGTCCCCTGGAGTACCTAATCTGTTTTTCTGAGCTCACAGATTGTAGGTAGCAGGTCTGGGTACCACAGGGCCTCCTCCTAGGCTGGGATATTAATCATAAAGTCCAAGTAGAAAAATGTGTTCTTGCCCAGAAAACTCAGAGTCTCTCAGGTTTTAGACTTCTCTCAGGTGCTCCCTGAAAGAATTTATGAAGGCTATGTTATTACTTTTGCACATTTGGGGTTCTAAGAAGTTTCTGTCTGAAGGTTTAAAAGGTTCCAAATCATGTGATTTTTTTTGAATGGTACATTTCACATATTTCAGTTTTGAAATTATACTTTTTCATCAGTTCTTAATGCATCCAGTAGAAGCAGACCCACAGTGATTAGACATCCATCCACCATCAGAAGGTATTTAAAAACCACACAAAAAGATCAGTAACAGGGAATAATTCCAGTATATTTCCCACATGCATGTCATGCTAATAATATGCTGAGAAATCCTGGATCTTATACTTGATAATCAAGGTATATTTCTCAATTGAACTTTAATATTTTGTTTTCTGTGATTATAATTATATGTGTAAAATTGTTTACTTGATTACCATTATAATTATTTTAGTCTACCAGCACTAAAAGCAACACAAAGTATTGTTTTATAATTAAAAAGTTAGATTATATTAGAAATACCTCAGAGTGAGATGTACTTAGCTTTTCTCTCTCCAATTACCTCATTTCTCCACATATAAACATTTATTGGTAAGAAACAAGTTGCAAGATCAATTATATTCTTTGTTCCCATCAATAATTTTTTATAATTAGATCATTCAGTTTGGCGTGCCAAAATGCAGAGTTGTTTATTGTGAAAAATTTTCTTTAAGGTGACAATTAAATCATATTCTGTGGGCCAGTGGGTAAACCTGTGGGCCAGTGGGAGGGGGAAGGCTTCTTTGAGTTGGCCACTATGGACAGATGCGTCTGCGTCCACCTCTTCTGGCCTCTTGTGGTCTTGTGCTTTCTCTGCTTGGTTGTGGTCAAGGTCCACATAGGGGGCTCTTTCCTCTTGGGGAGATCACTGCCACCATCTTGGCTTTACCCATTTGTCTTTGGGGACCAGTAGGAGTGTAACAGTGTTCCCTCTGGGAACTGGCAGTGTGGCGGTAGCAGTGCATGGGTGGAAGAAGGGAGGATTGCTTCCTGCCCACCTGGACCATTACCACCTCTTCTTCTGCAGTGCCCTGCACAGGGCTTGGAGTGGACTGAAGGGACTGGAATTTTATGGAGTAGGATCTAGTAGGCAGGGCAGGAGTTGCCCTTGCTCTGCAGGGGTCCATCTGGTCCCACCTGGGCAGGGGTGGGAAGTCCAGCCTTCCCTCTCCCTCGATGCCCCTAGACTCTGGAGCCATCAGCTTACCCAGGACGAGAAGCCCTTGCTTCTTTATCCTTCATTTCCATCCCAGGGTCACAGGGTCCTCTCTTGGTTGTTGAGAGGCGAAATTTGTCCTAGTGTGAAACTCTTTACAAAAGGCTGCTTCTGTCTCTGCCCTGAAATCTCAAAGGTATTACCTTTGAAACATCCCAAACCAAGGACAGCTTTATGAGGGAAATCTTCCTGGAAATGGCTGTTCCTGGTGGAGAAGGGTCTTGGGTCGAGGAGACTGAAGCAAAGAGCTGGGGCACAGGGTGCACAGCTCATATTAGTTGGTGATTTTGAAGCAGATCAAAACAAGCAAAATCATGGAGAAAAAATATCCCTGGTCCTTTCTTGTTTTAATTTCCATTACAAAGTCAAGGCTTCTGCCGTGTTTGCTTTCTGGAGGATGGCTTTAGGATGCTCTCTCTCACTTCTCTGTGTGAAAATGCCATCCTCATATTCATTTCCACAAAACATGCTACTGGCAAGGCGGGCTTTTCCCATCTTCTGTGGTAGCCGTGTTGGTTCTAAGGCACTGGAAGGGCTGATCTGGTGTTGAAATTCACAGCTTACATCTCCTCGAAGTGCACGTTAGCTTCCCAAGTCTCTCCCATGTGCCTTTCAAGGATTCCCAGGCACCATGGAACCTGATTCCTGCTCAGCAAGCCATGTGGGAAGGTGAGGCCAGCCAGAAAACCAGGGAGCGCCAGCTTCTTAGCATCCCTTGTATCCTGCCACCTTGTGTTTGTGGCATCATTTAAATTGGCCCTTGAATGAGGTTATATGCGTTCTTTTTTCCCAAGGCCCATTTAGGTTATGCCTGTACAGGAAGAACACAGGTCAGATGGGCATGAAGCATCAATGTGAATCACTATTTGACATGAAAACCCATCAGCTAGGCAAAGTGCCATCCGTGTTCTTTTATTTTTGATGTTGATAGCTTTGGTAATTTGACACAGATGGAATTGGAAGAATGCCAGGATTTGTTTTTAATGCATTAAAAATTACCTTTAACTAGCTATACAAAGGAGTTGCCATTTAACACACCAAAATTTTGGTGTGTGTGGTTCCTGGGGCTTGAACTCAGGGTTTGAGTGCTACTCCTGAGCTTTTGTGCTCAAGCCAGTGCTGAAGGCTAGTACTCTACCACTTGAACCACAAGTCTGAAGGAAGGGCAAGGAAAGAGAAGGAAGGAAGGAAGGAAGGAAGGAAGGAAGGAAGGAAGGAAGGAAGGAAGGAAGGAAGGAAGGAAGGAAGGAAGGGAAAGGAAGGAAGGAAGGCTGGTCTAGGAAGGAAGAAGGAAGAAATGAGAAGGAAAGAAAAAGGAATGAAATCCGGGTGTTGGTGGCTCAGTCACTCAGGAGACTGAGACCTGAAGCCAACCCGGGCAGGAAAGCCCATGAAACTTTTATCTCCAGTTAACCACCAGAAAGCTAAAAGTGGTGCTGTGGCTCAAATGTGGCAAAACCCTAAACCTGAGCAAAAGAGCTCAGGGACAACACCCAAGCCCTGAGTTGAAGGCCCATGATGGACAAAAAAAAAGGAATCATTAATTATTAATATGCAGGGTCTGTGTATAAATTTAGCACAAATCAAATGATATCATCTAGCAACCAGCCATGATGAGTTGCCTTGAATTGTCATATATACAAAACAAGTATTTCTGTAAATTTTCCTATAGAAAAATTGTTCACCAAATGTGAGCTATTTTGCAGTGAAATAGGAGTAATTACGTAGAGGCACCCTTATTTCACTGTGAAGAGGATTTCCTAGGATCATTGTTGCCTGGCTGTCATGGTGGCCCTGGGGATCCATGGCTAGTTCTGGCTCCCTGGTGGGCAAGAGTGTCTTCATGCCTCTGTGTGACAGCGGTGGGCCAGGGGAATATGATTCGACGTGGCTTGAAACAGCATTTTCTCCCGTGTCCTGATCATTTTTTAAGCTAGCATTGCTACCTGGTGAATTTGCTTTTCTTAAGCTTTGTGATAAAAATCATGGTTATTTGCATTTATTTAGTGAACAAAGTTCATTCCTTCACACAGTATTCAGCAAAAGGCTCCATACCTACTGGCAGCTGTTTGTGGTGTGGTGTGATGGAAGTTTGGTAACTGGACTGGAAACAGATCACAGTGTGGTGGGCAGAAATGACCCTGCACAGCAGTGACGTAGCACAGTTGTTACCTAAGCTCTGTGCCGGTGTCGGAAGCAGAAAGAGGCGACTCCTCTGTGTGTGTGTGTGTGTGTGTGTGTGTGTGTACGCACGCACGCACACGTGTGTACATGCATGCATGTTTTGAGGAAGCATCGTTGATTATATACATTGGTATTGAATATTTAATGATTTTATACTTCTCTGGAAAGATTAAAACTTGTAACTGTTTTAGGAGCTTCCTGTCCCCCTCAGTACATGGAAGCAGGCTCTGGTAAGAGTTCCTTGAACTCCCAGGGAATATGATGGAATCATACATGAGATGATTAGGAAGCTGAGATTTTTTTTCTAATCCCCTCCTGATTTGGAAGCTCTGAGGAAGTCACTAGAGATGGCAGAAGGGTGATGAGTTACAAAGAAGTCAGAATTTCTCTGTGCAATAGGACGAACTCTCCAATTTATGAAACAAATACTATGTGACTGTAACATTATAAAGAGGAAAAAATAGGAACTTTTTAGGAAGAAGAGTTAATTGTTTTGGTTGATAAACCAAAAATAGATACTTTGATCTGAGACTTTGCCAAAGTCTCACTTATTAGAAACACATTCAGTAAAAAGGCAAAAAAGTTTGTATGATCTGAAGAGAAAATTGAATGTTTCAAGAAAATGTGGTATACATATACAGTGGAGTTTTATACATCCATTAGAAAGAATGATATGGTATCATTCAAAACGAAATGGAAAGACATGGAAAAAATTATATTAGAAGTAAGCCAGACCCAGAGAAATACAGGTTGCATGTTTTCCCTCATTTGTGGTAGCTAGAATGTGCCTACAAATCTATAAGTAAACACACTGGGTGGTGTGCAGGTGGTTACGGATGAATTAACTGAAGGATCATAGACTCTATGGAAAACTCAAACAGAATAACTTTTTAGAAAGATCAGGTCAAAGCCCAACACAATCAATACCAGGCAATGGGTATATCCAAGATGGGGAAGGGGGATTGAAGTGGTGGAAGGGGTGAAATGCAGTCAAGAATTCATTGGTGATACCACAAAATTAACAAAAGGGAGGGAAGGGTGACACTGTATTTGTAAACTGCTTTGTTACAACTACTTTTTGTACAACTTTGTACAACTGCTTAAAGATCACAATAAAAGAAACACATTTGGTGTTAGGTCTTTTGCATCTTTGAGAGGAAAGAAAAATGTCTTACCTCTGTTTTATTGACACATGGATGGAAACAGAGTTCATGCGGTTCATCCACATCATCAACCACAGGGAAAACATCCCAGGCTTACTGACCAATCCCTTACCCAGTCCTGCTGAGGCTCTGGGACTGTTGATATGTGGGCCAGGCTTGCTGACTGATCCTTTATCCCCAGCCCCGACTGTGGCTCTGGCATTGTTGGTAGGATGTGGACTAGGACAAAGTTGTCCTGGGGTCTTCAGGAAAGAACTATTTGTAAACTTGTTTGTTTTTGCCTCGCAGTTACCAGCTGACGAGTGGTTACAAGCCCGCACCCATGGACTTGAGCTTCATAAAGCTCACCCCCTCTCAGGAAGCGATGGTGGACAAGTTGGCAGAAAATGCTCACAACGTGTGGGCCCGGGATCGAATCCGGCAGGGCTGGACATACGGCATCCAGCAGGTATCAGAGGGAGCGGGGAGAGAGGTCTCAGCATGGGGTCTGAGTTTCACCTCCCATGTGAATTATTCTTATTTGCAACAGGAGAGATTAATATATCACGACTGGATCGAACCTCATATTCTTAGGGCTGGACTCAAGGAGTTACACTATCTGAGCTCTTAGGACACTGCTGTTCTAAGACAGCATGGCGTTTCTTCTTCAGAGATGGTATTTTCGGATGGGGCTTTGAAATACTAAAATGAAATAACAGTAGACGTACAAATTCTTTATTCTTTCCTCCATGGGGCCAGATACTATTACATCTGCAGAGAGAGGGGTGTCCACCGTCACTGTTGCCTGATGGATTAGTTTGCTATGGCCGTTAGAGGCTCAAACTCCCCAGCTGGCCCTTCTTGACTCATGCACATAAACGACTCTTCTTCCTACTTTACCCCTGGTGTGCACACAGCCCTAGTGAGATCAGTTTGCCCAACATTGCCCCACCTACAGGTCACAGCTCCACAGGCCACAGACCCAGGGCTGGCACAAAGCTGCCTGACGCTAGGGCCAAAGATCCTCACGTCCTGAGTGCAATCCCTGGCAGCTTTGCTTGAATATTTTCAGGTCAAAACTGGACCACTGCTCCCCGCTGGTAGAAGAAGACACTGTCTAGAATTAAAAAGAAAAAAAAAGCGTATATTACAAACTCTTCTAATCCAGTAGCTTCTGCCATTTAGGAGAATAAAAGTGACTTAACTAGGCTTGTTGATTTTTCCCCCAGATGACATTTTTGTTTGGTATTTAAGTGGTCTCAGAATCCCCTGAACCTCTATGTGCGTGTGCACGCGTGCATGTGTGCACATGGATGTGTGTGTGTACCCTAGGACTCAGAAGAGGGCCCAGTCCTTAATTGGCCCCTTGCAGCAAAGCTTGTCAGGGAGCCGCACCATGATGCTAAATGTTCTCAGCTGACCCATTGCCTGTGCTGGTGGCCGGTGGGAAGCCGTTGTCAGGCAGCAAGCCTGCTTCTGTTACTGCCCTTCATCGTTTCCCTTCCTTTTGGAGAGAGACCATGTCAAGTCCGTGCTCTTATCCATTTGCTTACAACTGTTATAGCCATGGTGTCTGGTAACTTCTGGAAGCTGAGAAGATGAAGGAAACCAAGGCTGGGGCTGCTTCTGCCCTGGGAGACTTTGCATTTTGATGTTTCCATCACCACCTCATGTCTCAAAGCTTCTGGCATATCTTTGGTGATGATCTGCCTTGATTTCCTCCCCACAGGATGTAAAGAACAGGAGGAATCCCCGCCTGGTGCCCTATGCCCTCCTGGATGACCGGACCAAAAAATCCAACAAGGACAGCCTCCGGGAGGCGGTGCGCACGTTGCTGGGCTACGGCTACAGCCTGGAGGCCCCGGACCAGGACCACGGTATGCCCTGGCCTGGCCCCTCGGCGGTCAGGCCTTGGGGTGGTTCTTTAAGGCCAAAGAATAGAAGATGGAGTGGGCACAGGGGTCCTGGTGGCTTCCAAAGCTTTTGCAAAGAGCTGTAGGGATGGAAGTAACCACAAAATTCATCCAGAAAGTTCTTGGGTGGCAGAATACACACTGACAATGAACTAGTCCTTTATGATTATATTTTGTAATGGAAGTATAATTAACAGACAGCAAGGCCCGTAGGTTAAATGTTCAGTTTGAGTGATTCTGACAGTTTTATGCATGAAAGGAACTTCCACCCACATGTCCAACGTGACCACCCACACGGCCACTGCCAATGTGTTCTGTGTTGCCTAGAGGTTCCTTGTTGTAAGCGGGAAGAATTTCACAGTTTTGTTATTTTGGTTTTTATTGAGGTTGGTAGTCCAGTTTGAATGAATTTTTGTTCAGGATGTGAAGGCCAAGGTTCTTTTTTTATTTCTTTTAAATACAGATGGGTGTCCACTTGTTCAACACCCATTATTGGAGCAATTATTCTTTTCAAATTAACTTACTTTGTCTTTTTTTCCCCCTGTGCTTGAACTCTTAGCCTCACACGGTCACTTAGCTTTTCTGCTCAAGGCTAAGGCTTGAGCCATATCTCCACTTCTGGTTCACTGCTAGTTAATTGGAGACAGGAGTCTCTCAGATTGATCAGGCCAAGCTGGCTTTGTATCTTAATCTTCAGATTTCAGCCTCTTGCATATCTAGGATGACAGTTATGAGCTGCCAGTTCCCATCTTTATCTTGGTATTTTGATCAAAATAGATAAGTGACTTCCATTTTGAAACAGTGTACTGTGTTCCATTTACCTATATCATGGCTGTCTTTAAGAGTTGATCACACTGTATCACCTCAAAGTGAATTTTCATACTAGATAAAGTCATCCAACTCTCTTTCTCCTGCATCTACATATATTTTAGATTATGTTTGTCAGTTTGTTTTTATGGAATTATGCTTAAATTTATAGACTGTTAATTTGGGGAGAATTGGTACTTGAATAGTATTTAGTCTTCCAGTTCATGAACATGGTATGTCCCTGTGTATTTTGTCCCTTTTTAATTAATTAATTTTATTTACATTTATTTTTTTGCAATATCTCAATCAGATTTAATATTAGGGTAAAGTTGCCTTCTTAACATTAAGTTAAGCAATGACTCCTTCTTCCTCTAGTTTTCAATATATTTGTGTTATTTGCTTTCTTTAACTATTTGAAGTGTTTATCTATTTTTTGTTGTTGTTGTTAGTCATGGGGCTTGAACTCTGGACCTGAGCACTGTCTCTCAGCTCTTCAGCTCAAGGCAAGCACTCTATCACGAGCCACAGCACCACATCCGGTTTTCTGGTGGTTAATTGGAGATAAGAGTCTAACGGATTTTCTTGCCTGGGCCAGCTTTGAACTGCTATCCTCAGATCTCAGTCTCCTGAGTAGCTAGGATTACAGGCGTGAGCCACAGGCTCCTGGCTAGGGTTTATCATTTTAATCCATTGAGTCTGGCAATGTCTTCTTTAGGAGAGGTATTTAAAATATCAAAAATGTGGCATTTTCTCATCTCCCTTCTCTTCTGCTTTTTATGTCTGGAGTGAAATGTGGCATTTTCTCATCTCCCTTCTCTTCTGCTTTTTATGTCTGGAGTGACTCCCTATCTTTCATTCCTGATGTTGATCATTTTGTGTTTTCTCTTTTGTCTTTGTCAATCTTCCTAAGGATCAATTTCATAACTCTTTTTGAAGAGGCAGTAGATCTTCACGATCTTCACTGTGAAGTTTTGGTTAAGGTTTCACGTGTTTACTTTATTCCATCATATCTCAGGGGCTGGGATAAGTAAACTCCCATGATTCTGAGTGGCAGTGTGTTGTTTTTCCTCTCGGAAGCATCATGTCCAGTGAGCTGTGTTGTCACCACAGCCTTGGCACATAGTACTGAGGAATTCTATTTCCACATCCCCAGTAGAGATGGTTATGTGTCCTTTTTATATGAGCAGATATATGTACACAGAAACAATTGCTGATGGCTTTAATGATAACCTTGAAAGTTTGAGTTAATGAAGTGGATAGTACATTTCTCCCCACATGAAAATGTGTGTTATATGCCCAAACAATCATTGATATTTACATTTTAAAGATATAATTGCTTAAAGATTTAATCTGTTTTCAATTACCTTTGACCAATTGCTTTTCAGGGACAGTTACTCCGCAAATGATGCTGGATGAGTATGGTGCTATTCTGAGGACATAGGGTAGTTTATTCTGTTTTTAGCTGTTCTTACATCTTCCTGGCAGCCCTGTGGGCAGTGTATTGCTCCCTCATGGTTACCTTCTTTCTTGCGAACTAGGTGAGTTTCAAGGAGGAGGAGAAGGTTCCTAGCTGGGTGCCATTTTGCTGACCTATTTGAAATTCCTGTTTCCATTTGATTTTTATACATAGACCTTGAACTCTACTGCGACTCATTCTGGGCATTGAAGGGTGTATGTGGAGCGGCAGGGGAGGTAGACTAGCTTGCTGACAGGGTCACAGAGTCCAGGCAACATGTCCAAGAGCTCTGGGAGAGAGGGTTTCAGCAGCCTGGTGATGTGTGGGAACTTGCCACAGAGAGGGCCTGTGAGTTACCTACCGCTGATCCAGCCTGCTGCACTAGAAGCATGTAGGGCTAGGGCAGGGAGCAGCTGGCTGATGAGTTTCGTTTTACTGCAGTGATGCAGTCAGATGGGCAGGGAGGGGCGTGCGGCATGTTCCGTCCACAGCCAGGGCCCCAAACCCAGTATCGCCCTATGTCATACTAGGAATTCAATTGCACATCATGGAAAGTAGAGTTGTATCTGACAAGTGACATCAGGAACCAGAGGAAATGTCTTCCGAGTAGGTGTAGAAGGGATCAGAATGTCAATCAGTCAGAGTCAAACCCCAGCTGAGCTCTAGATCATTCTGGGCCACAAACTGGAGGAGGTACCAGCCCCAGAAGTTTTAAAGCAAGAGCTTTATGTGTGATCGCAGCTTACCACGGCAATACAGCTATGGCAACTGGAGCAGGAAGGAACAGATTGGAGGACGAGGGCTTGGGGAGATGGACAGACCATTGGGAAGTTTTGCAAACACTGGGATTTTTAATTTTTGTTTTCTGAACAAGGATGGTGGGAATGGAAGTCATAAACAAATTATATGACAATTTTATGGTGTAAAGCAAAGTAAGTCTTGTAGTCATAGACAGAGATAAGATTTAAGGTACTCATTTACAACTGGCTATTCTGTAGCTGCCAGCATCTGAAAGCAAAAGCATAAAAGGTGAATGAAATTGAAAGTTGTCATCTGCGATGAATTGGAGCTATCATTTATTTTCTAGTCTTTAGGAAGATGCTAACATATTCCATATCAAATGTGAGTTCGGTGTCTGAGTTGTGCTATCTTTGGGTGTAGTTCCCAACCATCTATTGAAGCTTTGGAAAACGGAGCTTATTCTTCACTTACCAGGTTTCGTCATAGTTTGCATTGCTTTGTTAGAACTAACACATGGAAGCTGAAACTAAATTCCATTTAAAAGTATACACACACACACACTTTCATGTTGTCTTCTATGTACAGGGAATGTTCTAGGGGCTAGTTTGCATTCCTTGCTTAGCATAAGATTTTCATACATAACTAAGTCTTGACTGCCCTCTAGCGGTGCCAAGCTGGGGTGGTCAGTGTGGTGATCCAGGCTTAGACTTTGACCCTGCCTGACCTAACTGTGGGCACTGAGGGCTGGGCACAGGCCCTGATGAGAGCTTCTGCTCAAATATGCACACACACCCACTGCGGACACCACACAACACTGACGGACACGCTGACCCAATCCAACATATGCACACACACAGCAGATACCACATAACAAACACAGAACACACATACACACAGGCAGATACACAGACCCAAATCAACACACACATGCACGCACTGACAGACACACATGCGCTGATAAGACACACAGACCCAATCCAACACACACATACACACACTGACAGACACACAGACCCAATCCAACACACACACACACACACATACACATACACACACACTGACAGAAACATAGACCCAATCCAACATACACACACAGAGGCAGACCCAACACAACACATACACACACTGAAAGAAATATAGACACAACACATGCATAGGCAGACTCAACCCAACACACACACATACTGCAGACCCAACCTAACACACACACACTGATACAGAGATACAACATAGAGGAAGACCCAACGCAGCACACACATATACACATACATATTGACACACAGACACAACACACAGACACAAAACACACACTGACAGACACAACACAGAGGCAGACCCAACACAACATACACATACACACACACGGACAGACACAACATACACAGGCAGACCCAACCCCACACATACACAGGCAGACCCAACACACACACACACTGCAAACCCAACACACAACACACTGCGAATACAACACACACACACACACACACACACACACACACACACATGCTATACAGACCCAACACACACTGCAGGCCCAGCCCAACACTTACACTCACTGACAGATACAACACAACACACACACTACAGACACAATACACACCCCCTTACACACATACTGACAGACAGACCCAACACACACAATACACATACCGACAGACACCACACACAGAGACACGCGCCAACCAACCCAGGCCAACCAATGCGTGCGTGCACGCGCGCATACACACACACACACACACACTTCGCTGTGCCTTGGGTCCCAGCGTGTACTCGGGCCACTGTGTTTCCTGCCCTGCGGCTGCGTGGGAAAGGAAGAGTGGGACGCTCTGTGGCTTCCTTCCAGACCCCCTCCCCTCGTCCTCCCTCTCTTCTTCCCCCCACCCCGACTTCCCCCCCTCCGTTCTCAGGCCAGCCCTGGGGTCTCCTGGCCTCTGGCCCCCCAGGGCTTGGCCCAGGCGGGGTCAGAGGGCAGCACAGTGGGGTGCCGGGTGCGGATTTCCGGGTGCGGGGTGGGGTTCGGGTCTGGATGGTGACCCCCCTCCTCCCGCCTGCAGCAGCCCGCAATGAGGCGGGCAGTGGCCCCGGCGAGCGGTTCCGCATCTTCCGTGCGGAGAAGACGTATGCTGTGCGCGCCGGGCGCTGGTACTTTGAGTTCGAGGCCGTGTCGGCCGGGGACATGCGCGTGGGCTGGAGCCGGCCAGGCTGCCAGCCCGACCTGGAGCTCGGCTCCGACGAGCGCGCCTTCGCCTTCGATGGCTTCAAGGTGAGCCAGAGCACATGCGCTGGGGGCTGGGGGCGGGGCTGGGGCGGGGCTGGAGGCGGGGCTGGGAGGCTGGGCGGCCAGGGCGGCCAGGGAAGCCAGGGACATGTGCTGGCCTTCGAACGCTTCAAGGTGAGCTAGTGCACATGCGCAGGCAAGATGGGGCGGGGCGCGGGGTGGGGCAGGGAACCATGGCGGGAGGGGGACGGGGAAGGAGGGGGACACGTCGGAACCCCCAACCCCTCCAGCCCCGTCCCCAGCCCTACCACCGTGCAGGGGAGGGGGCGGCCCAGGAGGCCCTAGCCAGAGGACCTGGCGGAGGCCTGGCCGTGTGCAAAGCGCTTGTTTCCCGCCAAGGCACAGGCCGTGGCCCCGAGCTGCGCGGGCTGGGAATCCTGTTTCTTATTTCTGAGGGAAAATGTGAAATTCTGTTTTGATTGCATTGTCTGAGGGGTTCTAGGTAATGTGAATGACTTCATGAGACACACGGAGAGCTGCGCAGATCAGAAGGTAGTGTCACACCTGCCCACCCCAGGTAGAATTGGGTGTGTCACACCTGCCCACCCCAGGTAGAACTGGCTGGGTCACACCTGGCCCCCAGGTAGAACTGGGTATGTCACAACTGCCCACCCCAGGTAGTACTGGCTGTGTCACACCTGCCCACCCCAGGTAGAACTGGGTGTGTCACACCTGCCCACCTCAGGTAGAACTGGCTGGGTCACACCTGCCCACCCCAGGTAGAACTGGGTGTGTCACACCTGCCCACCCCAGAGCAGGCCCAGGAGCTGACTTGAGTTCTGAAACCCAGAGGGTTAGGTGCCCCCGACTTTGAACTGTATTTCTCACTGATGGAAGCTGCTAAGATCTTCAGCAGGAGGGGCCCCTGGGAGCACAGGGCTTGTTAGCTTTGCAGACCACAGACAAGGGTGGAGCCAATGGGTGGAGACCGACAGATGTGGGACACTGACAGATAGGCAGATGTGGAAGACATATAGACAGATGTGGGAGACAGATGGTTGTGGGAGACCAACAGATAGACAGATGTGGGAGTGGAGTGGAAGAAGAACATTGTTTTACCTGGTGGTTCCACTGGCCCATGGTCCCAGTAAGGACAGACGTTGGAAAGATTAATCTGACAGAACAGGGTCTCATGTCGTCTCTGCCAATTAGTGAAGCAGACTTGAGGACCCCAGTTCACATTTATCACGGCTGTGTTTCCAAGGTACTTCAGAACTGAGATTTCCCTCATGTGTGTAGAGGAGGGCTGCTGCCAGAAGAGTCCGGTTTTGGCTAGCTAGATCTTAGCAGACTGCTTAAGAATATTTTTAGGTTGGGATTGAAGCTTTTGTGGTTTTAAAATGGAACCAAAGAGCTTTAAGAAACCTTTTGTTTTTTTTTCCCCCCAAAGGAACTGGATTTATTTTGAAATAGATGAAAACTAGAGTGTGTTATTTTCAATCACGTATTCTCAGCTCTTAAATCTTTATTTTATTTTTGTGGGAGTTGAGCAAAACAGCCTGTAATCCCGGGGGAAGCCTTCGTAGGAGCAAATGACCTAAGTAGAGTGCAAAGGCGGATCGTTTTTCTTTGAACTGAAAGTCTGAGGGGTTGCTCGGATACTTAACCACACTAGACTCACATTCACAAACCTGCGCTCACGTTTCCGCTCAGCTTCTGCTGTAAGGCTGAGGGGCCTTTGCCTGTGCATGCTGGCCGGGCAGTAGGCCGGTGCGGTGTCCCCGACTGGCACTGACCCAGGCCCTTCTGTCCTTTGCAGGCCCAGCGGTGGCACCAGGGCAATGAGCACTACGGCCGCGCGTGGCAGGCTGGGGATGTGGTGGGCTGCATGGTGGACATGAACGAGCACACCATGGTGTTCACACTCAACGGGGAGATCCTGCTGGACGACTCAGGCTCTGAGTTGGCGTTCAAGGACTTCGACGTGGGCGATGGTGAGTGGGCCACATGTGCTGGTATTTCTGGCTGTCAGTACGCACTGCAGAGGTCTGACTGTCTGTCCAAGGTGTCTGTCTCTGTGTGAGGGTGAAGCAGAGCAGTTGTCTGTGCGCAGGACCTCTGAGAGACCTTGGAAATCACCTTTGCCATGCTGCGTGCACTTCTTTGCTAGGATGTTAATGAGGTAGAAATGGCTTTTTGAAAAATTATTATTATTTTGTCAGTCGTGGGGCTTGAACTCAGAGTTTGGGTGCTGTCCTTTAGCTCTTCAGCTCAAGGCTGGTGCTCTACCACTTGAGCTACAGTGCCATTTCCGATTTTCTGAGTGGTTTATTGGAGATAAGAATCTCACAGACTTCCTTTCCTGGGCTGGCTTTGAACCACGATCCTCAGATCTCAGCTTCCTGAGTAGCTAGGATTATAGGCGTGAACTGCCAGTGCCGGACAGAAATGGCTTTTATGAGGGTTTAACAAAAACCACCTGAACAGTGGTATTCCACTGGGAAGTAGTTTGGGGCTACTATCATTTTGTAGTAGGGGAGTCCACGGCACCTGGTTCTGTCCATTTTCCTGTGTAGCCTTGGGAAACAGCCTCTCTGTTCTCATTTCCGGAAAATAAAAGTAGTATTTGGAGATGATGGTGTCTTCAGTCGGAAGATCCCAGAAATCCAAACGACCATGTATTTTCAGCTTGTGTTGCCTTTAAGCCCACAGCATTCTTTATTTCAATGGTGGCATCTATTTGATCAGATGTAGGACTCTACGCAAAATGATTTCATGTCTTCTTTTCTCATCTGGGAAAAAAAAGCGGAACTCATCGGCCTGTGTGTGTTGAAGTGTTACCCTTTCTTTTTCGTGTACTAAAAAGGTTTGCATGTATATTAAATATGATTTGGACTATTAAAAAATCTGTTAGGGGCTATTTCATTTAGGTTTTTAGATGTGAATTCTTCTTTGTATTTCAGAAATGAGAAAAAAAATCTCAAATTATATGTCTTTAGGAAAGTGAGTCTGGTCTGCCTGTGAGCTGCTTTACTTTCCTCTCATCCCTAGATTTCCTGTGCGTATTCCCTTCCAAGCCGGTGGGCATGTCCCCAGCCTGGCAGAACCTGTGTGCTCCCAACACCGCCCCCTGCTGAGACACACAGAGGCTTAGCACTAGAGAGAGTTAGAAAGTGCCCAAGCCATCTGCCTTGGGGTGGAGAAGCAGCAGCGTCACCATAGGTTCTAGCTAATGTTTTAACAACTTTTTCCCCCAAATATGGTAGGTCTGGCTTATGCCCAAGTAACCAATTGAGCTCCTGTGCACGGATTAAAGCTCCACTGCCAGGAAAGAGAGTTTTGCTTAGCGATCAGCAGGCTTTGCTATTTGTAGAGTGTCAGTTAAGGTAACTGGGGTGGAAGATAGTGCAAAGGTCAGAAAGGTAAGGGCCTGTATTTTACATGGGCTGCACGGACATGTGGACATCTTTTTTTATTGTGTTGAACTATGTGTGGGCTGCTTAGGTCCTACTTGTGAAAAAATATCGAACCTATAGGTTAGACATAAATAGGTTATCCTATTTTGATGTTATTTATGAACTTGTGCTGGTTGAGCTTAATAGTATTTATTATTTCCTGATATGTCATTTCATCACCTATGTTGATATAATGGTCTCCTAAATTACTTACTATATGTGTTTTGTAATTAAAGCTAAACTCTCAGTTATCAGAGGTTCCTATCCATACTTACTGTGTCAAACACTGCCTTGTACCTAGTGTGTATTTATTAGATATTAACTGAGGCAAATACTTAATATTTCTCCATGCAGTATCAGGAGGCATCTCGTGTTTCCAAGAGAATTGAAGAACAGTAAACCTAGCACAGCATTTTATATACTGAGGTCCCCAGGTCCCAGCCAGCCCACTATGTGCATTTATAAATAAAGTTCTATTAGGACATGGCTACATTCATTTGTTTACCTAATGCCTAAGGTTGACTTAGCACTATAACTAGAGGTTGGGTGCCCGAATAATGAAGCAACAGAATGTGTCATCTACTAGTGTGCATCGAGTAAGCTGAGGAAAATAATCTATATTTGTGTAATGAAAATTGTTAAAGTTATATCTCTATAGATGAATAGATGGAGATATTTAGATAGATGTAGCTATAGATATAAACTCTTACTCCCTAGAGGGGAAAAAACCCTTGGCTTTTGTTGTTTTTCTCTCTTTTCTAAAGAATTGGCATGATATTGTGAATTAAACCCTCTTGAAACTTGAAAGTATTGTCCAAAGGCCTAAAAGTGCTTTTAACAGGATTTTAAAGTCTTCTACTATACCGCATATTTTGAGAAATCAAAGTTCTTCCAAAAAATGTAAGCGGAGGACAGTAACACTTTTGTATCCTTCACCTAGAATGATTGCATTTGTGAATTCTTTTGTATGAGTTTTGTTGCTCTTTTCATCTTTACTCTGGGCATCTTAAGGATGTGTTTACTTGCCTACATGTATTTAGCTTGTATGTATATCATGGCTTACCACCATTCTCTTATTTATCCATAGCTTACTTTCTCCTTTTACTTTTTTTCCCAATTTTTAAATTAAGTGTTCTGAACCTTCGTGCTAAAGCAGAATACTTTGTATGGGATTTCACCTTAAAAATCCCATGGCTTAGGTATTTTGGGATTAAAACACCAATGGGTGTTTTAAAGGAATTAAAGCTTAAAGAGTATAAGTACCCTGAAAAGATCAAATAGCTATTAAGGCTAAGATTTGATCCGAACCTGGTAGACACTGAACTCTCTTCTGTATAGCGTGCTGTACCTCTACTTTTCTTTTTATTTTGTTTTGTTTCTTGGCTTGTTTTCTGAGACAAGGTCTTGTTATATAGGCCAGGCTGGCCTTGAATTCCCAACCCTCCTTTCTCAGCCTTTGGTGTGCAGGGGTTGCAGGTGGAGCACCAGGCCCAGATTACCCTCTTCTTGGATGGTAATTCTTTGGAGACTGACCGCCTTTCCATCCTTGCTCTGCTGCTTGCATTTTCCTGTGCAATGGCTGGGGGGTGAGGATGTCTTCCTTCCCTTTATTAGGCTCTGAGCACCTTTGAGCCAGGGTATGTATCCGTCACTTTTTATTAACCACTTTTTACTACATGGCAGCTGCTCAGTAGATACTTAATTAAATAAATGAGTGGTTGTGCTGGGCGTGGGGGCTTATGCCTGTAACCCCAGCTACTTTGAAAGCAGAGATTTATGAGTAACTTAGTCTGGTTAGTATCACTTGTCCGGCCCAGGCAAAAACGCAAGATTCTACCTGAAAAATGAAGCACAAAGAGCTCAGGGACATGGGCTCAAGTGGCAGAACTTGCCTAGCAAGTGGGAGGACCACTTAACTCCAGTACCACCAGAAGAACAAAGGTTAAAAGTTTGCGGCATGCACAATAAACTGTCCTAATTGTATCAGTCGAATGTAAGAAGCGGGATGGATGTTTGGTTCTGGACTTAGCACACGTCGACACTTAGGGTTGAAGGTGCTGTGTGAGATGTTTCGCATCCCTCTCTGTCTTAGACATCTATTCAGGAGAAGGATGTAGCTGTGTCCTTTCATATTGAATGAAATAATTTTTATTATAACTTTCAGTTGTACAAAAGAGTTGCCATTTCACAAAGCAGTTTATGAATGTGTGCATCTGGGGCAAGGTCGCCTTTTTCCATGTTCTGACCCACCCCGCTCACCAGCCTCTCCCACCTGCCCCTCTGTCACCCTTCTTAATTTTATAAGATGTTTTTTAATGAAAGCTATCCCTTGTTTTCAAATAAATTACACATTCACCAAAAGCAACTTGTTAAATGGAAGGAACAACAACAAAAAATGTTGAAAGTCCTACCACTGTGAAACTTCAATTAAAACAAAACCTTTTTTTTTCTATCAACCCCTCCCTCCCTGCTGGGTGTTGGTGATTCACGCCTGTAATCCTAGCTACTCAGAGGCTGAGATCTGAGAATCACGGTTCAAAGCCAGCTTGGGCAGGAAAGTCCATGAGACTCATTTCCAATTAATCACCAGAAACCTGGAAGTGGCGCTGTGGTATAAGTTTCTTCAACTCGTACACATTGTGAATGTCTTTCTATATATTAACATACCTCTGAAAACTGAAATGAACCTTTAAAGTCTGAATTCTATAAAAGTAAAACATTCCATCTTATAAGGAGGCATATTATTAAGGAAAAAATCCCACCTGTACGTGGGTAACCAGTACAGGTAACCAGTCTGGAAGAAGATATCTTTGTGCATTTCTCTAGTCACTTAACCTTCTTTATCCCCCCAAAAGTATTTGAAATGTACAGAAGCATTCATGGATGATTATGAGCTACTGGAACCTTCTGCAGATAGAATGACTAGAAATTAGTGGGTGTTCACCATCTGAGAAGCTGTTTTTCTTTAAATCATCTCGATGTAGACATACAAAGGAGATACCACTGAACAGAGCAGTGTGTGAATACAGATACTCTTGACCGGCGTCTGCTCCTTCACTATTCTCACAGCCCTTCTCTGATGAGTGGCTCTAACCCTGTCCCTTCGATTATGCGAGATGACTGGAGATTTACCACTCGATACTGATGCATTCCAAGCTGTCTCAGATCGATTGTACTTACACAGTCTTTTTCCTTGTGGGGAGGGGATACTTACTTAGAGCAACTTTCCTGGCACAGCTGCACACACACAGCTACAGCTCCTTTCCTTGTAACTGGAATCTTTCTGTTCCCACTTCCTGGAACCCAGGTAGAGCATGCCTCCCTCCTCCTGGGCCACCACAAGTCACGGCCATACTTCTGGAAACACTGGGAATAAGCAGGTGTCATCTGTATTGTCTTCTGCTTTGTGTGGCATAGCATAAGTCATTTACTGGCCAAAATGTTAACAAGGGCAGAAGTTTGAAGGATAACAGTAGAACTGAGTATCTTAGTTCTGCCATTGGCTGATTCTTAGCACCCACTACATAGTTGATCTACACATTAGAGAATCCAATTAGATCCTCTGGAGTCTGTGGACCACCCATTTATTGTTCTTATTGTTTCACATGTGTGTGAAACATTGTAGAACGACATGAAGAGTACAAAAATGCTCCCCTTACTCTAGAAAAACACCTTCTCACCTTGTCATGACAAATGACCTCTCACCCCCTGATGACTGTTGATTCTAAAGAACTCAAAGAAACAATGAGGAGCATTAGTGTTGGTCCCCTCCTGCCTCAGGAGCAGAAGGGTGTGCTGACTTGGTCCTCTGTTATATTATGAACTATTTTGTCTGTTTGTCCCATGGTCCTTGCTGAAATGTGTGTATGTGTCTGTATTAAACTTCCCATGTAGATAACATGTACATATAAGCATATATTTCTGAATGACTATTCAGAAGTAAAACAATCAAAGTGCTTCTCAAAGATCAAAAACAGCTATTTGCATGTGAAATGGTTTTAAATGCTTGCCCATAGTCTTCTTTCTTGGAGTCACCTAAGAAGGAGCTGACAGTGTAGACTCGTTGGTGTCCCCACAAATCAAGCTTTTTTAGCAGCTTGAAGAGCAACAAAAAAGGCAGCCACCCCTCCAGCTGACAGAAGGGTCTTATGTAAGGCCACACTAGTAAATCATGAGGTCAATATCAAATCATGTTTTCTCTCCCTGATGTGAAACGCTCAATGTCTCTTCCTTCTGTTATTGTCATTTTCCTAGGATGGTGGCTGTGTCATAGATCAGAGTCCTGGAATTATCTGCTCAGGGTTCTGTGCCAACAGGCTCTTGGAATGACTATCCTGAAGATTGTGACTTTTCTTTTTTTCTTCCCAGGATTCATTCCTGTATGTAGCCTTGGAGTGGGACAGGTGGGCAGGATGAACTTCGGAAAGGACGTCAGCACCTTGAAATACTTCACCATCTGTGGCTTGCAGGAGGGCTATGAGCCATTCGCTGTTAACACAAACAGGGACATCACCATGTGGCTGAGCAAGAGACTGCCTCAGTTTCTACAGGTTCCATCCAACCATGAGCACATTGAGGTTTGCCTTTCCTTTAAAAAATCAGACCCCCAAGAGCAAATAAACAACAACAGATTCTTTTATCTATGAGAGGTCTTTGGGGGTCAGTTATTGCCACTCAACATGGAGGCCGTGATGCATTCATGTGTAGCAGAATTGGGATAGGTGCTCTACCAGAACCTTTTTAGATGGATGGACAATTTTCTTTTTGTGCCCAATACCTGAAACAAAACAAAGCAGTTTAAGGGAGAAATGTTGTTTTGGCTAATGGTTCCAGAGGCTTCGATCCATGATGGGTTGGCTCCATTGCTATGGGTTTTTGTTGTGGTGAGGCAGAGCATCATGGCAGCCAAAAGACTTGGTGGAAGAAAGCTGTCCTCATGGGAGCCAGGAAGTAAAGAGGAATCACAGCCAAGATAAAGCCTCCTAAGTCAGAGCCCCGGGTTCTACTTCCTTCTGTTTGCCCATGCCTTCCACAGTTCCAAAGCCACCCAATAGTCTGTTCCACTTCTGAATCCATCAGTGGAGTAAGACGTCAGGTCAGAGCCTCCTGGTCTCATTGTCTCTGCATGCCGAGGTGTGCGTTGCCGAAGTCCTCGGCATCTCTCAACACAATCATGGCAAATCAGGTTACCCAGCTTGATGCTTTTGATATGGAGGCCAGGCCAGGCTGGCTCCATTGTGTCCATGATAGCACAAATTCCCCCAAGCTGTCTTTAGAATTAGGATAAGAACTGTGAATACAGTTGTTTCTTAGGGTCCATAGAAAATTAGTTCCAAGACTCTTGGGCATGCCAAAACCTGTACTCCAGTCCTTCACATAAAATGGCGTTGTACTTGCCCCAAACTTCTGCACATCCTTCCATCAAGTTTAAGTTTCTACATTCCTCAGTCATTCCCTAACAGAATGCCAATTCTGTCTATCATTTAAGGAATGAGAACATGGAAAAGTGTCTTGACCGTATTCAGCACAGATGCGCTATTTTACAAACATTTTCTGAAGCAATGGATTAAATCTGCAGAAGGAGCAGAAACTGTGGCTAGTTAGGGCCAACTGCACATCCCTAACAGAGGCCTCTGTGCTTCCTTGTCTCTGACAAAGTGATGCCGTGTTTGGGAGTCAGGAGACACACTAGTCCTCTTGAAGATCAGGAAGTGAGGCATGGTGATGAACTAATGTGAACTAACACCTCCTCTTCCTTTGCCAGGTGACCAGGATAGATGGCACCACGGACAGCTCCCCGTGCCTGAAGGTTACCCAGAAGTCCTTTGGCTCTCAGAACAGCACCTCAGACATCATGTTTTACCGCCTGAGCATGCCCATTGAGTGCGCTGAGGTCTTCTCCAAGACGGTGCCCGGGGGGCTCTCAGGCGCTGGCCTCTTTGTGCCCAAGAATGATCTGGAAGACTACGACACGGATTCTGACTTTGAGGTTCTCATGAAGACGGCTCACGGCCATCTCGTGCCTGACCGCATTGATAAAGACAAAGAAGCCACAAAGTCTGAGTTTAATAACCATAAAGACTACGCTCAGGAAAAGCCCTCCCGCCTGAAACAAAGGTCATTAGCAGTTATGACAGTGATTCTCAATACGTGGTAATTGTGTGTGCAGAGTTACAGTAGAGGAGACAAGGTTCCCAAGTAGTATTCCTGCCCACCTCTCTCTTCCCTTTTTTTCTTTTCCTTTCTTGCTGTATTAATTTAAATTTCTTTGGCCCCCAATTTTTTTCTTATAGGGGAAGATAAAACAGCCTGTTGGCCTCCTAATTTGTTAGGCCTCATGTAATATGCTTCAAGTTACTTCTTAAGATGTCCAGGTGGACCTTATTGGTTAAAGCTTAGAGAGTGTGCTCACCACATTGTATGTTCAGGATCAGCAAGGCCGGCTGTTTTCTTGTAGTAAGTCAGGGCCTCCCACACACTGCATGATGGACAGTCAGTCCTTGTGGTGGGAGCTGTGTGGGCACCGAGCACCACTGGGCAGCCTCCCTTGCCTCCTGCCACTGGACACCAGGCAGAGCTCCAGCCCCAGCTCTGACAGCCTGAGTCTGACTGCAGGGTCCCACTGCTCCCTGGAGAAGGGGCGGCAGTGTGGACCAGGCTGAGAACCACGAAACTGATGACATGATCGTAGTCAAAGTAAGTCAAAAGAAACCATTCTTGATTCTTTGTCCTCTAATATATTACAGATTTTTACTTAGAAGAACAAAGCCAGATTATAGCACCAGCCATTCTGCCAGGCTCACTGAAGACGTCCTGGCCGACGACCGGGATGACTATGAATACCTCATGAACACTTCCACGGTATGAGCCGGCACCTCCCGCCCATCACCTCCTGTCAACCAATCCTTGTGCTCTCCAGCTCCTGTCACTCACTCTGTGCTCCACCTCAGACACCATAATCTGATCTGTTGCCTTTAGGAACACACTTGTTATGGAGACAGGGTCTCAGGCTAGCCCACGGTGGCTGTGCACTTGCTCCTCCTGACCCAGCATCTCTAGCACTGGGATTATAAACCTGTGCCACTATGCAGCTGGGTATCATTCTTAAAATAATTATTTGTTTGTACTTTTAGATATACCTTTAGGATATAAAACCCAGAAATGTTTGTGCCACGATGTCTGCTGTGTCGTAAGAGAAAATATCCTTAATGACACCCCTAATATTATTCTGCAATACAGTTTTATAGTTTGTCCTTGTCTTTTCTAAGTCCATGTCATTTCTTTCATTTTACGCAGTTGTCTCAACAAAGCAGATCATTTATCATGCTTGCTAAGAAGTCAGCTCTTGTCCACTAACATTAAAATTTTCAAATCCTGACATGCCAAATGAAAAAAAAATGTAATTCCCATGTTTGAAGCTCACGTACTAGATCTGAAATCTTTCTTTATTTTGCTTTATTTCTAAATGAATGTATAGACCAGGGGTTTCATTGTGGCATTTCCACATTTACACACAGGGCATTTTGAGCAAATTCACACTCCCTGAACGTGAACGTTCCTTCCCTTCCTCATTGCTTCTTTCACAGTGTTTAGTGTTAAGTGGGTTCCATTATGCTGTGTTGAGATATATGTGTATGTATACACACGTGAATATACACAGCGATTCCTTGGACTCTTTTCCCAATCAGTGTCCTCTTCTTTCTCCCCCACCCCTCATTCTCTCCCCTCCTAGACAGCTCCCCTTGTACATTTATGTCCCATTGCCTCCACCACCACCACCCTCATCATAATCATCATTATTTTAGGTCTGTATGGACCAATGAGTGAGAACACGAGGTATTTAGCTTTCTGAGTCTGGCTTATCTCACTTGACAGGATGATCGCCACTTCTACCCAATTCCCTGCGGATGACACAATTTCATGTATTTGTTTTCACTGTTATCTCAACAGTATTATTACTCGGTGAGGATCTTCCCTGGGCAAGAGCCGGCAAATGTCTGGGTGGGCTGGATCACGTCTGACTTCCACCAGCACGACCCTGGCTTTGATTTGGACAGAGTCCGGACAGTGACCGTCACGCTGGGAGACGAAAAGGGAAAAGTCCATGAAAGGTTTGTTCTCTTCAGTGTTTATCCTGAATGAATGACCTCTGGAAAAACAAAACAAAGCAAGAGAATACTGGTTAAACTTAGGTGCTTTTCTTTTTGGATTCTGTGCCCAGGATATGTATAGAAATAATATAATGAAACTGTTGATATCACTGTCATTTTTGTTAGTCCTACAAACCAGCAAGGAATGTAAGAATATGGAAAGCAAGAGCTGTTATCTTACCACCAATGCCCCTCTGTGGGCAAAGTTCAGTATTGCTTAGGTGTCATGACTAGAGACATGGGTTATCAAGGTCTAGCCTTGGCTGTAGGGATCAAAGTTGGGTGGAGATGAGAACTCCGGGACCTGGATGTGGTGGGTGGGGGGTGAGAACTGTGAAGAAAGAGCGTGGGCTGGTAGTTGAGACAAGGTGCACACCTTTGAACTTGGACTGAGGAGTAGTGGGTTCTTTCCTCAGCTTTGCCATTGACTCGCTGTGTGGCTTTGGGTAAGTCACTTACACTTTCTGTGCCATCCTTTTTCCATCTGTACAACAAACCAAACTGAAACCAAACCCTGCCCAAAGTGAAGACGGCTATCTTCCTTGCAGAATGAGACAAGAGAAGATCTGACCGTTTGCTTCTATCTTGTGTGCCCATGCCTCCTCTCTGATCTGCTGTGACAGGTCTCAGAAATCAGTCTTCCATAACGTTGCTTTTCTTCTCTACCATCCTTGTGGGTGACAGGGAACCTCGCTGACCGCCCTCCAGATGTAACCCAGGCAACACAATGGACTGCGCGCTTGAGATGGAAGCCTCGGTGCCATCTCCAGTGATGGATGCCTGGCTTTCATATTTGTAGCAGGGTCCAGGCAGCGCAGTCTGGGACAGTTCTTGGGAGTGCATTCAATTTTCAGAGATGGCAACAGTATAAGGAGAAAAAAAAAACAACCTCATGGTAGTGATGGAGTAGTGGACAGGTGCTTTTGTGTAGGGGATTTAGAGCAGGAAGGACCAGTGGACTGTACAGAGCTCGCGCAAAGAAACAGCCTGCATTTGATGACCTTGACTTGGACTTGACCTTGGCCTTTATGTTTCTTTCCTCCTGCTTGCCTGCTGTTGGCCTTTCTTTGCCAGTGGTGTTAGTTGTTGGCAGTGCAGGGCGAGGCAGGTTGGGCTCAAAGTATGTCACTTCACTTCCATCTTGAACAAAGGTTTTGGTAAACCTGAAAAAAAAAACAGGTGAATGTTTGCTAGTGTCACCAATTTTGTACATCTTCAAGTTAACCCTGTTTCTCATAACAGATCGCCAGCCATAAAAGGGCATCATTTTAGCCAAATTTTAAATCTATTTGAATCATTGACAGCCCATGAAGAATGTGCATAAGGAAATGAATATTTCTTAGAGCAAGTGGTTAAAAAAATGAAAGAGATGCACACTCAAATTTGGGTGCTTATGAAATAGTTAAAACTCTTTTGAACCTCAGACAAAGGTCCAGTTTGGTTTGAATATTTTTAGAGAGAAGGTGCAGGTCAGTTCTTCTTTGGTTCCAACCCACTGGCCTGTGTCCCTTAGAACAATGTGGAATCTAGAGCCGCATCAGACTTGATCTGGAACGGCCACCGTAGTTGATGGAGTTTCGCTCAGAATCACAGAACCGGGCCCATTGTGCACCTTCCCATTGCCGCATGAGCTTGTTGCTTGCACAGCATATTTTAGGTTTAGTTCTGCAAGATACACATGCTTTCCCTCATACCCACTGGTCATGCCAAGATGAAAATGTGAGTTTACTTTCTATGTATTCTTCTTTTATACGTGGCAAACCAGCATCAAACGCAGCAACTGCTACATGGTGTGTGCAGGCGAGAGCATGAGCCCCGGGCAAGGCCGTAACAACAACGGCTTGGAGATCGGCTGTGTGGTGGATGCAGCCAGCGGGCTGCTCACGTTCATTGCCAATGGCAAGGAGCTGAGCACTTACTACCAGGTACGTGGCAGCGGTCAGGGATGGCCTCATGCTTCTAGGGAGGGAAAGGGGAAGACATAGTGGAAGGTCAAAAATTAGAAAGAAAATAGGGAAGCAGAAAAGGAGATAATGATATATACTTAGATGTCTGTCAGCCCTCTGCATTGCTATGACCTTTCAGAGTACTATGTGCCTGCAGAGATGTTCGCACAATCACGATGTTCTCCAACTAATTCTGGGAAAATCAATATTGCTATGAAAGGAAGGAAAAAATATTTCCTTGTATAAAATGTTTCTTGGTTGTTCTGTCTCCCCTCTTGACTAACATTGGCAAATGCATTTGTTTGTCTAAGGTGGAGCCAAGCACAAAATTATTCCCCGCTGTGTTTGCACAAGCTACAAGCCCCAATGTTTTCCAGTTTGAGTTGGGAAGAATCAAGGTAAGGATGGCTCAATCCTAGTGTTGCATTGTGTTCTTTTCTGTAAAGGCCTAGCATGTACTCCTGAAAAGGATTTAGTATCTTATTACATTGTATGATACAGTAACATAGATCAAACACATCATTCTTTAAGGGACTGTAGCTGTGTTAGAGAATCTCTTTCTAGTAACTGAATGAGTTTATCTTTGATTTTCAGTATATTATTCATGAGTAGTAGGGCTATACAGAACAAAAAAATTGACAAATTCCCTACAAGTACAGTGACCTCTGAACTCAAACGTGAGTTAGTGAACACACATAAAGATTTAAAACCTTGTAACTTAAACAGCAGCATGTATGGAGATCTCTGGAAACATAAATGAAAGAACAGCAAAGAAGGTAGGGAAGAGCCAGGAGATCAGAAAGAAGAGGTATATTTAGGTTGATTGCTGTTACATTGGGATCCATGTTTGCTAGGGGGAAGCACTCTTGGCAGAGGGAGTAAGAATATAGAAGTTAAGTAATTTGATAAGTGTGCACCAAGAGATGCCTTCCAGGAAGTGGCCAGAGAGAGCCATGTATAAATTTTTTAAAAATTCCTGAAAATATTGATTCACCCTTTACACATGGTGCCTGCTCAGTAGATTTTCACATTACATAGATAAGATCTAGATGCACAATCCATATGTATACTCACCTGTGTGGAAGGAAAGAGAACTGTGGTGGGAAAGGTGAGGCCAGTCATCCCGAAGTCGGCTGTGACTCCTGGTTGAGAGGAGTGAAGGGCGTGTTGGAGGCAGTGGGTGAGAGGGAGGTAGGGTGGATGGGAGAACCCTGCTGTGTGGTCTCAGGAAGAAGAGGCAGAGAGGGGCCAAGGGGGGCACAGCTCCAGGAATGGGGAGGAGGGCTGAGAGGGGGAGAAGCCTTGTGGAGCCAAGGGAGGGAAGGCTTCAGGATTGAAGGGGCCGACAGTTGAAGATAGCTCCTGCCACAGAAGGGTCAGTGATGGAGGGTACCTGTGGAGGGTCTTGTGGATGGTTCTAGAATATGGGAGAAATCATATGGCAGTGAGTTCAAAACAGCATGAGAAAAAGGAGGTGGGAAGCTTAAATCTCTCTCTCTCTCTTACACACACATATCATCATCATCATCTAAATATATAATGGTATTTATGTATACATATATATTATATAGCAATGCACATGTCATTTATATGCTGTGTCTCTATTCACATATATGAATATGAGTATGAATATATACATATGTGTTCATATATATGAAGTAGTGATAGTTCAGCTACCTCTTGGCCTTTCCATTTGCTGTGGAGAGTGCTATGTCCCGATTGAACAGCTGTGTCTCCACACTCCCTCTTTCAAAGGGCTCCTTTGCCAACTTCCCTTAATCCCTGATCTGTTTTCCGAAGCTCTAAATCTTGGTGCCATCCTCGACTTCCCTCCTTCATGTTCTATATCAAGGTCTCTCCAAGGCAGATCTTCTGCTTATGACTCCTGTAGCCTTTCCCCTGGCTGGTTCTCATGCTCAACCCCACCATTTCGTTTCCCTTCTGGATGAATCTACACACCCTCATGTAACTCTGCCTTGTCCATCTGGATATTGGACTGTAATCCTCACTATTTTACAGTGGCTCAGGCCAGATCATTCTACCACAGAGAGGGCCAGAAGAAGCCCTGCTTCCCTGAGGAGGATGGAGATCAGATGCTTTTGGTGGTCCATGGGCCACCACGAGGCCTGACGTCCTCTCCCCTCCCTGATGTCCTCTCCTGTTGGTTTCCCATCTGGCTGTACTGAAGCCACACTGGCCACGACCTTCTGCAGGTCATGTTTCCTCCTCCCTGCCATCCGTGTGGTCCTTCTCTGTTTGTTTTTCTTTAAATATCACCTTCTCAATGATGCTTATCATAGCTGCATGCTGTTCACAACTGTTTCTGGTATACTATTTAACTTACTTATTAGTATTGCTTTATATCTGCAACAAGAACAATGAAAGGGGGAGAGAAGACAGGGATTCTGTGTGCACTCTAGTGCCTAGAGCAGCGTCTGGCTCCACCGCCTCCCATTCACAAAGGGAACAGCAATAGCTTGAGGACAGGCAGCCTGGAGAGAGCAGGAGAGTGCTCACCAGAGGAAAAGAGGTGGGAGGGTATGCAGACCTGTGAGGCAGATCCCTTCCTCTGAAGGTAAGCACGGAGAGGGTGGGGTTCCCACCTCAACTGTGAGCTAATATGTGTCAGCACAGCGGAGGCCTCTCTTTCTTTGGGCGCAGAGGACACAGGCTGGCTGAAATCGCCTATTGGAAGTGAAGAACACAAACTGCGTTGGTCAATGCCAAACCGATTGGACTTTCTTTGATGAGTGGGTTTAGGTGTTGAGTTGGTGCAATTGCTGATTAGAGGGAATGGTTAAGGATGGGAAGAGCTGACCCACCCAGGAGCGTGGGGTGGGTGTGGCAGGGGTTGGGTACTGAATTCTGTCCTACAACCTTGCCTGATTCCTCAGGGGCCCTGCCTGGCAAGGAGGTTGGAGGGCCGTGAGGCTGTGGGTGGTTGCATTTGCAGAAACCATCCTAGAAAGGGCACATTCTGAGACCTCTTTACCTGCCCTGCATTTTCAGAGGGTTTTGCATTATATTCCGCCTCCCTCCCCCCTCTCCTCCTCCTCTCCCCTCCTCCTCTCTCCTTTCAGGAGCTCTTCAGTTTCTCTCATGCCCCTTAGGGAATCTCAGTCTCTTACCTCCACTGGCTCTTTCCTGTGAAGAATTGCATCATGGCTTTAGGAACCTCAAGGGATGTGGTAAATTCATTCTTTTTTCCCCCCGTTTTCCTCCTGGTCTAGAATGTGATGCCTCTGTCGGCGGGCTTGTTCAAGAGCGAGCACAAAAACCCGGTGCCCCAGTGCCCCCCACGCCTGCACGTGCAGTTCCTGTCCCATGTCCTGTGGAGCCGGATGCCCAACCAGTTTTTGAAGGTGGATGTGTCTCGCATCAGTGAGCGTCAAGGCTGGCTGGTGCAGTGTTTGGACCCACTGCAGTTCATGTCCCTCCACATCCCCGAGGAGAACAGGTGAGCCCCGCGTGCACACACGCTCGTGCGAGGATGACGATGGTCCACACATGGCCCCCAGTCGGGGAGCAGTGGATAAATCAAATGCAGCATAGATGGTGTGACAGTACAGATGAATGAAATACTGAATCAGAGAGCAAAATGGAAGAACCTTGAAAGCACAGTGAGACCAAGAAGCTGGTTACAAAGGACCTGGAAGTTTTGTTTGTATCAGAACTCTGTCTTTTTTCCCCGTTTTTCTTTTCTTTCTTATGGATCTCTAAAGAGAGATGGTAGATGGATAGCTACTTAGGTCTGGAGGAGGAACTGAGGCTTGACTGCTAAATGGGTTTCTGCTAGGGATGATGGAAATGTCCTATATGTAGTTTATGGTTAAGGTGTACACATCTTCATTAATGCATGAAAACTTTGAATTCAGTGTTTCAAATAGGTAAATTGAGTAGCATGTGCACCACCACCACCACCTCCTCCTCCTCCTCCTGCTCCTCCTCCTCCTCTTCCTTCTCCTCCACCTCCTCCTCCTTTTCCTTCCTCCTCTTCCTCCTCCTCCTCCTCCTTCTCCTTCTCCTCCTCTTTCTTCTTCCTAATACTAGGGTTTTAAACTCAGGACCTTGCCCTTGCTCTACCACTTGAGCTATGCCCCCAGTCTGACATTTTTGTTGGTTCATTGGTGATGGAGTCTCTCAGGCTTTTCTTCCTGTGCTATCTTTGAGCATTAATGCTCCTGATCTCAGCCTCCTGATTAGCTAGCATTACAGATATGAGCCAACAGTAGCTGACTTTGTAAATGACATTTTGACTAAAACTATGCAAATATTAAATTAGAAAGTTCTCCAGCTAGCTGCTTCATGCTTTGCATGTCTACCTACTTTGTATGAAGTAATGAGATAGGTCTTTCGTAGTATGGCCTCTAGATGATTTTGTTTGAATTTGTGTGGTTCATACTTTGTGTGAGATTGAAATTAAGTTTTATCAGAATTTTGCATCAGACTTTTTTTTTAAACTTGTGGTTAGAAAATTTCAGTGTCAAATTGTAGGTGGACGACAATTTGTAAAGCACTCAGAATTGATTTTTTTAGCATATTTTTATTGTTGAGGGTTACCGTTTTGTAACTCAGGTTACAAATACATTTCTTTGTGGGCAGTGTCACCCATCCCTTGCTCTCTCCCCGTTCCTCCCTCCCATCCCCACCCACAAGTTGGATAGTTCATTTTCAACATAGTGTCTACTGAATCAAAAGTGATTTTTTTCCCCCCAGAGGTCATTTTCAGCCATGAAACGTGTCAGAACTTTCTGGAACTTTCTGCTGTGCATAGCTTTCTTCCCTGCTAACAATTTTTTCTCTGTGGTCTGTTTCTGACCTGGCTGCCTTTCCCCTCCTGCTCTCGCACAGATCTGTGGACATCTTAGAGTTGACGGAGCAGGAGGAGTTGCTGCGATTTCACTACCACACACTGCGGCTCTACTCGGCCGTGTGCGCCCTCGGAAACCACCGGGTGGCCCACGCGCTGTGCAGCCACGTGGACGAGCCTCAGCTGCTCTACGCCATCGAGAACAAGTACATGCCTGGCCTGCTACGCACGGGCTACTACGACCTGCTGATCGACATCCACCTCAGCTCCTACGCCACGGCCAGGCTCATGATGAACAACGAGTTCATTGTCCCCATGACGGAGGAGACAAAGACCATCACGCTCTTCCCGGATGAGAACAAGAGGCATGGGCTCCCCGGCATCGGCCTGAGCACCTCACTCCGGCCCCGCATGCGGTTCTCCTCCCCCAGCTTCGTCGGCGTCAGCAGTGAGTGCTACCAGTACAGCCCCGAGTTCCCTCTGGACATCCTGAAGGCCAAGACCATCCAGATGCTGACGGAGGCGGTGGAGGAGGGCAGCCTCCACGCGCGCGACCCCGTTGGGGGGACCACAGAATTCCTCTTTGTGCCCCTCATCAAGCTCTTCTACACCCTGCTCATCATGGGACTCTTCCACAACGAGGACCTGAAGCACATCCTGCAGCTGATCGAGCCCAGGGTGTTCAAGGAAGCCGCCACTCTGGAGGAGGATGGGGACCGGCAGGAGAAGGAGCTCAGTGCCGAGGACTCCAGGCTGGAAGGGGCGGGTGAAGACGAGGCCAAGGTGGGCATGCGGCCTAAGGAGGGCCTCCTGCAGATGAAGCTGCCTGAGCCGGTGAAACTGCAGGTAATCTGGAGAGCATTTCAGACTCGATCACTGCTGAGGTGTGAAAATGTACCTGTCTCTCCCTCCCTCCTTTCCTTTCTTCCTCCTCTCTCTCTCTCCCTCTCCCTTTCTCCCTCTCTCCCTCCCCCTCTCTCTCTTTTCTTTCTCTTTTCCATTTTTTTTTGCCAGTCCTGGGGCTTGACCTCTGGGCCTGGGTGCTGTCCTTGTGCTTCTTTTGCTCAAGGTTAGTGTTCTACCACTTGATTCATAGCTCTACTTACAGCTTTTCTTTTGGTAGTTAATTAGAGATAAGACTCTCATGGACTGTCCTGCATGGGCTGGTCTCCAACCATGATCCTCAGTTCTCAGCTTCCTGAGAAGCTAGGCATGAGCCACCAGTGCCAGGCAATTTCCCAGTCTTAATGAGGTTACATTGTCTCCTGTTTTTTTTTTCTCCTACTCATTAGCACTTTCCTTGTATCTCTTGTGTCCCTAAATATATTTCATCTATGTGATGTAGGGATACTCAATCTCAGGCACTAGAACCCCTTTCCATCCTGCCTTCTCTCAGGACATGCATGCTTTCTTACCAGCCACATTTACTACCTGATGCTGCCTGTTCCTAAGGAATGGGAGGCATTGCCTGGTCCCGTGCTTGGAGGCTATGTGCAGGGTCTCCTTTTCATGCCTCGTTGTTCCTTAGACCCAGTGTGAGTTTGCTTCTCGATTGGGTTTTCTTATTCTCTCGTGTCAGAGGCGTGAGCCCATCTTGCACACACACGCACACTCCAGGGAAACACACAGGTTCTGTGCATTCCTTTTCACGGCCTTTGGTACTCAGAAGTACAAGAATGGACACGTAGAAGAAAGAGCGTGTGGAGACTGTTAAGAAGGGATGGGGAAACCAAGTCAGATGGAAGAACTGGATTTCAGAAGGGCAAACAAGATGGAGTCAGGCAAGGTGGCCTTCACCCACAAGGCCGACAGCCCAGCCTGGGTTCCCTGGCCAGAGAGGCCACCATGGCAGCTGCAAAGAAACAGAGATTGTGGGACTCACAGGTGACCCTGGGCTTAGAGAGGGAAGGGGACGGGGTGGGGCAGGGGTCCAGGGGCAGACTCATCAGCTGCAGTGCTGTCCTGCCCTGAGGGACTGGTGCCACTCCGCTGGGTTTGGGGACAGGGGTGAAGGAAGGGGTGGATGGCCGGGTCAGCTTCAGAGAATGAATGTGAACTTCCTCCAGAGACGCTGACAGGAATGGTTGTATTACACAGGATGGTAAGATTCTCTTTTATACTCCCCCTTGTATTGTCACAGGTGTCATTATACTCCCTTGTATTTATTGTCACAGGTGTCATTATGTTTTCCTGGCATTCGTTCACAGACATGTTTCTACCCATAAAAAAAAATAGCCTAGCTGAGCATTAGATGAGGACACATTCATCCCTTACCCAACATGCGTGAGTGTTCTGGAGTCTGGAACTGGCACTGGAACTCAAGGACACCCCTCTGCACTGTGACCCTGAGCCTGCAGTTTGCCCCTGAGTTCTCACCTCATTCCTTCTGCAGCGCCACCTGTGTAACACAGATCATGCTTTGCTGTGTGTTTGCGTTTGCAAGAGCAGATGCTGAACTCTTTTTTTTTTTGGGGTCCAGTCGTGGGGCCTGAACTCTGGGCCTGGGCGCTGTCCCTCAGCTCTTCAGCTCAAGGCTAGCGCTCTACCACTTGAGCCACAGCACTTCCGGCTTTTTTCTTTTTGCTTATGTGGTGCTGAGGAATCGAACTTAGCTCTTCAGCTCAAGGCTAGCGCTCTACCACTTGAGCCACAGCGCCACTTCCGGCTTTTTTCTTTTTGCTTATGTGGTGCTGAGGAATCGAACTTAGGGCCTCAGGCATGCAAGGCAAGCGCTCTACCACTGAGCCACCTTCCCAGCCCCCAGATGCTGAACTCTTATGTTTCCTTGATTGCCTTTTTAGATGTGCCTCTTGCTTCAGTACCTCTGTGACTGCCAGGTCCGGCACCGGATCGAAGCGATCGTGGCCTTCTCAGATGACTTTGTGGCCAAGCTCCAGGACAATCAGCGTTTCCGCTACAACGAAGTGATGCAGGCCTTAAACATGTCAGCGGCACTCACGGCCAGGAAAACCAAGGAATTCCGCTCACCCCCCCAAGAACAGGTACCAGAGTGGCACGGAAGCCCAGCCTTTCTGCTTTTGATTTCGGCACATTTGGGATTTGTTGCAAAATTATACATGTTATATACCCTTTTTGAATTTCCTGTTCCATTTAAAGTTGCCCACATTTTTTGGGGGGGTAATACTTCCAGTTTCTCATCAAGCATATTCTTGGTTAAATGTATCATGGTCAGAGAAAGGCCTGACAGATAGGAAGGCAGTCAACCACAGGTGGGTGGAACAGGGCACTGCCTGGCATCCTAAGGCTCCATGCTAGCTGCTTTCTATTTGGCACCTCAAAGAAGTACCGGATGGCAGCCATCTTGCTTCGAAAGATGGATCATCCTGTTTATGACTCTTCATTTCATGTCATAAGATATTAAAATTTTCATTTAAGACAAAAAAAAACCCCTTATACCAAGAAACAGGAAAAGCCTGAATGGGAAGAGACAATAATTACTAAGGTTGAGAGGGCAGAAGGGTTAAACTCACTACAAAGCATCAAAAGCCACCCTTACAAAATTATTTCAAAAAAGGGGGAAAAAACGGAAATAGGAAATCTTAGCAAAGAAATGTAAGATATAGAGAACAACCCGATGGAAACTCCAGAAGTGAGAACAACCCAATGGAAACTCCAGAAGTGAGAAAATGTCATGTCTGAAACAAAATGCTCAATAAGCATGTTTAACAGTGGAAAGGAGAGAGCAGAGGTAAGAAAACATCTCCATCTGAGGGAAAGACATAAACAGGGTATAACATATACCCAGAACGGTTAGATTCATGTCAATCTTCTGTCAGCCCGAGTTCCATACAGCATGAAAATACCTTTCCAGAAGGAAGAGAGATGAAGACATTAGCAAGTCTGCTATGCAAGAAAGCTAAAGGAGGTTCTTCTTCAGGCAGTTATTGGGAACATCCCCAAATTGGTTATGAACATCTTTGCTTTCACCTTTGTGCTGTCTATCCCAAATTCTCTTCTCTTTCTTCCTTCATCTTTCCTCTCTCCGGCCTTTCCTCTTCCAGATCAACATGCTCCTCAACTTCAAAGATGACAAAAGTGAATGTCCATGTCCTGAAGAAATCCGTGACCAACTCCTGGATTTCCATGAGGATTTGATGACACATTGTGGTAAGGTCATGGTGACCCATCCCTCGGGCTGAATGTGTCCCTCTTACATATACCCATACACAATGGGGTATGTGTGTGGGCAGCTCTGTTAGATGTTCATGTAATGTTATCAGGATGCAGTGGTTAATTGTGTCTGCGGTAGATTGGGAGGGTTGAGCCAGAGGGGCAGGAAGACTGAGCGAAAATGAGCTAAACCCTCAGTAGTGGCTGGGAACGGCCAAGCGCTCTGGGCAGAGGCTGTGGGTTCCATCGATTGGTCATTAACTATAGTTTCCCTCGCACAGATGAGAAGCCCTGTGTGTTGCTGATAGTTGTGTGTTGTGTACTGGAATTTTCTAAGAGGGTAGGCTTTATGTTAAATGTTCTTACAGCAACAACAGCCAACCAACAAACAAAAACACCAAAGGGAGGAGTGCAGGGGAATGTTAGAGGTGACAGTTTATATTGTCCCTTCACGGTAGTGATGCTGGCTTCATAGGTAGACACATGTGCCCAAACATTTTCAACCACACACGTTGACCATTGGCAGTTTTCTTCTGTGAGCTGTACTCCAACAAGTCTGTTTGCTGATGGCAAACAGTCGTATTTAAGCCACTTCAAAGGCCACCTCTGAGGACTGGCCTAAGAAATAACGAGTCTTCTGAGTGAGCATGCCTAAGGAAACCCTACATTGCTGTATGTTAGTCATTCAAATCTAGTGAGGAAAAACCCCTCTCCCTCTACTCGCAGAGCCTCTCACATGGAGTTGGTCAGAGGTTCTGGCTGTGTGATTCTCTATTCCCTTACAAAATGATCATCCTTTGAGTAGACAGAACTCCACTAAGATTATTTTTTACCTCATTCTGTAAAAGAATAAAAGCGCTGCCTTGCACATGAATTCATTTTATGAATGAAGGGGCACTAAATGAAAGCATGGATATTATATATTCATGATCAATAAATGACACTGCAATAGGCTTTCATTGTTACAGATATTAACCAGTCCCTGTTTAGAGTACCTAATTGTACCAATTCTCTCTGTCTTACAAGTTATCAAGGTATTATTGACAATTTTGGAGGGAAGAGAGGAACACTGACATCCTGATTTGCTTTGAGGCAGGGTAGGACTGTAGCTCTGGGCACCTTGCATCCTAAGGAAGCACTTTGGAAAGGCTCCACACGAGAGCAGAATTGAGCATAGCTTCTCAGGGTGTCTTTGATTTAGTCTTGTCTCCATCCTGGTTGTCGGTAGCCCTGAGACCCAGGGACAGAGGGACAGAGGCTCACAAGGGAATCCACATGGGGGCAAATGTTTTATTAGCCATCACAAGGCATGAATGGAGTTGCAGAGACTGAGAATTATTACTTTTTGTTGTTGTTTCAAATGTATTCCTTCACTGTGTTCTGTACCGTCTCCGTGTTAGGAATTGAGCTGGATGAAGATGGCTCTTTGGATGGAAACAGTGACTTAACCATCAGGGGACGTCTATTGTCCCTGGTAGAAAAGGTGACATACCTGAAGAAGAAGCAAGCAGAAAAGCCAGTGGCCAGTGACGCCACCAAGTCCTGTAAGCATGTGACAGCAGGGGCACAGTGAGCAGGCTTTGGATGGGCACCCATCCTGGGAACGGGTATCATGCCAGATGAGCAGAGAGGCCACGGCAGTCCCAGCTTCTGGGCCTCCGGTTCCTCACGCGTGTCTATAGCTTCCAGAAGTAGCATAGAGGAATTAGGCTGAGAGGTAGCATCGGATAAAGGGGAAGGAGCTCCCTGGAGAACCAACAATTCAGACAAAGAAACAAAGACTATCAAGAGAAATTATACAGCTAGGCTGCAGTGGTTCACGCCTGTAATCCTAGCTTCTCAGAAGGCTGATAACCAAGGATTGTGGTTAAAAGCCAGACCAGGCAAGAAACTCTGTGAGACTTTTATCTCCAACTAGCCATCAAAAATCTGGAGGTGTAGACTCAAGTGTTAGAGTACCAGCCTTGAACAAAGAAGCCAAGCAAGTGTATTAGGCTCTGAGTTCAAGCCCTAGTACTGACAATAACAGCAGCAGCAGCAGGCAGAGAGAGAGAGAGAGAGAGAAAGAATATAAAGGAAGTAATTTAGCCTTTATATATAAATGC